AGAATTCCCCACCCCGGGGGTGTCAAAAGATGTCAAACCTGTGACAGCCCCGCTGCACAGTCAAGAGGCTGAGAGGAAGAGCAGAAATGAAAGCCAGGCGAGCTTATGGGGCTACTTCAGTGGAGGCGAGGTGTTCAAGGAAGGCTTGGGGAAAGTGGAAGCAGCCCATGCCGTCAGCCAGATATGGGACCCCTAAAATGTGACGTGATAACGCCCAGGGAGGAAATTGCAGCAGCTGCTATAATTAGATGCATAGCTATCAACTTTTCCCTTTTCTCACGAGGAATCCTATTCAGAATAAGGGAATTTCCCTTTGAAAAAGGGAAACGTTGACAGCTATGATTAGATGCTGCGGAGGGGATGCAATTTCTCTAATTAGGAACCACGCGACTGAAAGCTCTCAGTGGCGGGGGAATGTTGGATTTCCCCCCAAAGGGACCGACGGTTCCATGTGGCAGAAATTCCCCGCAGTTAAGGGTTTGCCACCTTTCCTGCTGGCCCCGTAACAGTGGCCAGACAGCCAGAAATCTAATGCAAAGCTTTTCCTTCCTCACTTTTTAACCACCGTAGTGGAAAAGCACCGCCGGTCTGATTTCTTTGCAGGAATCTGGTGGGGTTGTTCTAGGGCAAAACAAACCAACAGAGATGGGGCTCTGCAAATATAAGTAACACAAGACAAAGGTTTCAGGAACCGAAGCAACTATGAAATGATACAGAATAGGATGGCTATTTAAACATGAGCGTCTAAGTTCATGTGCACAGAATTGCAAAACGCAAATGACAAAATGCATTTGCTCCAAACCACAGCCACAATGTGGAGAAGGGCTATAGATCAGGGATAAACAATTTGCATGCAGAAGGTTCAATCCTCCAGCGCCCCTTGGGAATGCTTAAAATCCTGGACAGTTGTTGCCAATCGGTGTAGCCAATACTAAGGTAGCTGGATCAATGGTCTGCCTCGGCTTCCTATGTTTTTATGGCCACGTTCACATCACCCTTTTAAAGCTACTTTAAACAGCCATGGCTCCCCTTCTCCCTTGGAATTATGGGAGCTGTAGTTCATTAAGGATGCTGAGAGTTGTTAGGAAGGCTCCTATTCTCCTCAAAGAGCTACAATTCCCCGAATGGTTCAACCACGCTAGGTGCATGCAGCCAGAGCCAATGGCAGGCAGAGAAAACTAAATTGAGCTTTGCAGAGTTCTGCAAGGGCAACGCTGAGAGCTCACCCAGATTTGCCCTTGCCCCACTGTTTCCCTCCAGAGAAAACTGATCTTTACTGCTGAATCGGAGCAAACGTCAATGGGTTTTTTCCTCCAGGTTGACATTTGCTCAGATTTATCACTGTTGTTGTTGTTTAGTCGTTTAGTCGTGTCCGACTCTTCCTGACCCCCTGGACCAGAGCACGCCAGGCACTCCTGTCTTCCACTGCCTCCCACAGTTTGGTCAAACTCAGGCTGGCAGCTTCGAGAACACTGTCCAACCATCTCGTGCTCTGTCGTCCCCTTCTCCTTGTGCTCTCCATCTTTCCCAACATCAGGGTCTTTTCCAGGGAGTCTTCTCTTCTCATGAGGTGGCCAAAGTATTGGAGTCTCAGTTTCAGGACCTGTCCTTCCAGTGAGCACTCAGGGCTGATTTCCTTCAGAATGGAGAGGTTTGATCTTCTTGCAGTCCACGGGACTCTCAAGAGTCTCCTCCAGCACCAGAATTCAAAAGCATCCATTCTTCGGTGATCAGCCTTCTTTATGGTCCAGCTCTCACTTCCATACATCACTACTGGGAAAACCCTAGCTTTAACTATACGGACCTTTGTTGGCAAGGTGGTGTCTCTGCTTTTTATCACTAGAGAGCGGGTTTTCCTGGGTACAGAGAGCGAACTGCCTAGAAACATGGTAAAAGCAAAAAACCACTCAGACCCATGCTTTCCAGGCTTGAGATAAACATAAGCGCATCCCTGTCAACTGCCCGGAAAAGTTGGGACATCCCATTTTTCCCTGAGAGAGAACGGCAACCATTCTTGGGCGCCTTGCTCTAGCGTGATTTTGGAGCAACATCTTGTCCTGAAAAAAGCGTGATTATTTCCGGGTCCATGATCTTGAACAGGTCACGTGACTCACATGGCATTTCAGACCCGGAAGATGGCTTCCCAGATTTGGGCCACGTCGTGTCGGAGGATGTGGACAGTCAGCACTTCCCCCTAGATTGGTTGAAAGTAAGAAGGCAGGGCAAATATGCACTAGCTAAGAGAGACTTAATTTGGCAAGGCTGTGCCACACTATGGGCCAGACTCCACTGCCTCTTTGTGAGGTGGGGAAGATTGTGATAGTCACCGGTTCCTCTTCTGCAAAACGGTTATTCTGTGGTGCCCGCGACAGTTTTAAATCTCCAAACATACCACAGCTCCCAGGCCCGAGAAAGGTTGGAGACTCCTGCAAACCTATTGAACACTCAGCAGCAGAAAACAATTACAGTGGTACCTCGGGTTAAGTACTTAATTCGTTCCGGAGGTCTGTACTTAACCTAAAACTGTTCTTAACCTGAAGCACCACTTTAGCTAATGGGGCATCCTGCTGCCGCCGCGCCGCCAGAGCACGATTTCTGTTCTCATCCTGAAGCAAAGTTCTTAACCTGAAGCACTATTTCTGGGTTAGCGGAGTCTGTAACCTGAAGCGTATGTAACTTGAAGCGTATGTAACCCGAAGTACCACTGTACAGCTTATGGAACTGCGTCCACACAGGGCGCAAATGAACTTCTCATAACTCTGCATGCAGGGCGAAGTGCTAAGTGATTTCAGAGCCAGCCTTTTAAAAATAAAATAGACGCTGTTTTGCAGCCAGCAGATAAGGCAGCTGTTCTTCCTTAAGAAGACACCTCTTCTTTTCAAGCCTGCCTACACAACTCGGGTTTAGCAGTTGCAAGAGTGGAGGGGTTTTTGTTTTGCTTTTGGCTATGCTGATTCCGGTTTCCTGAGAAAGGCTGCAACCGGGGGAGAGACAGAAGACAAAAGTCCACCCAACCCACTCATCGCGAGGGGCCCTGCGGTGAACAGCGTGGGTGGTGTTGAGAGAAGACACTGATTTAAACAGAGGTAGGAAAACTGGAGTGTCTTTGGCACACCCTGTAGGACAATGAAAGAATTTCAGTCTCAGAGAAAAGTACCTGCACCAACACGATCGTGTTATTTTAGGGAGAGGTGGCCACAACAAACACAGCGCCAAAATAATGATGATGATGATGATGTATTAGCAGAATACAGAATACATAAAATCTGCTGTCAGGGGATTGGCTGGGCACTGAGAAGTAATGGCCAGATACTGAGGAGTGGGGCACTGGAAGAAAGGGGTTTGGAGACCGACTTGGAAAAGGGATCAGGACGAGACACAAGCATCAGCAGTGGATTCCACCAAGACAGTGGGGCCCTGGCTTCTGCTTGAGGACACCAGGTCCTACATTGTGGAATCAACTGATCTACACTTTAGACTGAACTAAAGGTAAAGGGACCCCTGACCATTAGGTCCAGTCACAGACGACTCTGGGGTTGCGGTGCTCATCTCGCTTTACTGGCCAATGGAGCTGGCGTACAGCTTCCGAGTCATGTGGCCAGCATGACTAAGCCACTTCTGGCGAACCAGAGCAGCGCACGGAAATGCCGTTTACCTTCCCACCGGAGCGATACCTATTTATCTACTAGCACTGGCGTGCTTTCAAACTGCTAGGTTGGCAGGAGCAGGGACCGAGCAACAGGATCTCACCCCGTCGCAGGGATTCGAACCGCCAATCTTCTGACTAGCAAGCCCTAGGCTCTGTAGTTTAGACCACAGCGCCACCTGCGTCCATAGACTGAACTAGCCTCCTATTTGAAAAGGTCCATCACATCTCTATTTCCTTTCGCCAATAACCTTTCCCTGCCCGTACATTTCGCAAAGCTTTCACTTTGCTTTTATCTCATCCCTCCCTCTCCAGCCCAATCTGTCCAATTCTTTACAATGGGTTGCCATCCTTTTTAGGCTTACGGGCCAATTTGGGGTTTCAGAGTCCGTCCCCCAAACCCTGCCCGATCGGCCACCCTCCCCCAAGAGACCATGCTGGGTAGATGCATGGGCTTCGATTTTCCGAGGGATCTCCGCAGAAGTGGAATCCGGCAGAACCGATGTGAGCCTCAAAAAGTGAATAGAGCTGAAAGAGGAAGTGGGAAGGAGGGCCACTCTCTCCAAACTTCCTCTTTCATCTCTACGTACTTTCAGGGGGAGAACAAAGGTAGCTGCTCTCATGACCAAGGGGGCAGCGAGCGTATGTGCATGTGTGGGTGCTGAGAGCCTCCGTGGGTTTTAGGGGAAGCCTCAACAGCATCTGAAGGAGAAGCTGCGGTTTCTTATTGAAAGAAGCACACCCAGACTCACAAGGAGCGCTGACCAATCTCTCTTTCATAAGAACATGGTTAGGGAAACTAAGGCCCGGGGGCCGGATCCGGCCCAATAGCCTTCTCAATCCAGCCCGTGGATGGTCCGGGAATCAGCATGTTTTCACATGAGTAGAATGTGTCCTTTTATTTAAAATGCATCTCTGGGTTATTTGTGGGGCCTGCCTGTTTTTACCTGAGTAGAATGTGTGCTTTTATTTAAAATGCACTTCTGGGTTGTTTGTGGGGCATAGGAATTCGTTCATTTCCCTCCCAAAATATAGTTCGGCTCCCCACAAGGTCCGAGGGACAGTCGACTGGCCCCCTGCTGAAAAAGTTTGTTGGACCCTGCATAACAACATGAGAAGACCCCTGCAGGATCCGGCCAACAGCCCATCTGTTCCAGCATCTTGTTCTTACAGCGGCCAACCAGATGACTAGGGGGAAAGTCGCAAGCACGATTCGAACACAAGCCTTTCCCCTCCTGTGGTTTCCAGCGGATGTGGATGCAGAATGTAGCCCTCATGGCTAGTAGACATCAATGGCCTTCTCCCTCTGTGTTCTTCACCGGTCCTAGAGCAATAAGGAGGATTATCGCAACAGGGGAGAGCGTGGTTGACTTTTTATAGAGATGTTAATAAGGAATGGTCAACAGTGCCACCTGGAGGGGAGAGCCAAGCAACACACACAGATACAAGATGCTTAAATGGACAACAGAGCGTTTTCGGTTATCATACTTCACTTCCCGGAGTGTTCTCTCAAGCGGCCATTTAATTACAAAACACTAAAATCACCATTTAGAAAATATTTGACACAAGTTGTATTAGAGCCTTCAGAGGATATCTACTTGGAGTAGTATTTCAGCACCAAAAAAAACCCAGGGCAGTTCAACTGATATGTATATACAGGATACATCAAAAATGCTTATTTATAATGAAATCTATACAAAAAAAAAAAACCACGTTAAAAAACCAGTTCCTATATACAGTTCTTTCTTTTCTTTTTCTTTTTTTTTAAAAAAGCAACGTCTTCATTACTAAGTTGTACAGACCGTTTCTTACTTTTTACTACGGTTGATTCAGTCGACGCAACACACACACCTTTAAAAAAATTGTTATTATTCGTTGTGCAAACAAAAATGGTAAGGCTTGGAAAAGGATCATCTCGGAAACAACAGAAGGTCAGTAATTTTAAGGTGTTTTTTCTTTCTTTGTAAAGTCTCTTAACAGTCATAATTAAATTTCCTTTTTTAAAAAAGAAAAAAAAGCACATAAGAACAAAAGAAATGTCTGAATGTCACAACCCACAACACAGTTCCTCTCTCGGATTATCAATGCCCTTTGTTCTGTTTTTGAGACGTATTTCTCCCACCCTGCAGCTTAAAGATCAAACCGTTTCGCTTTACAAAAAAGAAAGAAAGAAAGTATTGAGGTTGCTGGGCCTGTTTAACAGGACCAAGGAGCGTGAAGCTGGAATTCTCTCTTCAGGTTTTCCTATTTTGAATAAATAAAAATAACTTTGAATGTGGGACGATTTCATCTATGCCCGGAAGAAATGTGATTTCTTGGTGTCTGATCCAGTAAGAGGATCTCCTCGCAGCGTGTTTTCCCTGTGATCCTGAGTGTTCCTGGACAATACTGCTTTGTGTTTAGAAGCGGACAATCTTCTTAAGCTTACTTGAAAATAAAATGGCACATCAGTGCAGGGAAGCCACAACACACACCAGACAAAGTTTCTTAAGTGCTTTCCCAGCACCAAAGGACCTAGGCATGCTACGTTTTAAAAAAATAAAGTAAAATCACAAACATCTTGTGATGGGAGTTTCATTCAACTACAAACGGAGAGCGCTGCTGCTGTTTTCAACTAAGAACGTTTTTAGCAGCCGGTCCAGAACGTCGTAGCAAACAAAAACTTCGGTGACACCTTTAAGAAATAAAAACCGCCGTGTGTTTGTCTTCTTTGCTTGAAAAAAAAAAAATACATTCCCACTGTTGTACGGCTAAACCGGCGCGGCAACACAATCTGCCTCCGAAATCGCTTCGCGACCACTGCTGTTCTCCGCCAGCACCCCGATGCTTGGCGACCCCCCCAAAAAAGTGCTTCTGGAGAATACTACAAGGGAGTCTTCGACACCAGCAGCCGAGTCTTTGCTTCGCCTTCCAGGGACCATCATCCTTTTAAAGTGCACGCCGGCATCACAGGCACGCTACGAGTGTTCGGAGCTCCGCATTGGGCTGGGCTCGGTCCCGTCCTCGTTGCCACTGTCGAGGTCCTGCTCCATCGCGGTCTCCTCCTCGTCGAGGCGCTGGCTGGTGAAGTTGTTGAGCTCAAGGAGGCCGCTGGGCTCCACGACCACGTTGGAGGTGGAATGGCAGGCCACGGAAAACTGAGGGATCGTCTGGAAGAGGAGGAGGGAAAACTGTGCATTAACAGCTATACGAGAAATATGTAAAATAACTAAGCAAGTATTAGACATCACCCCAGAATTAGCCTTACTAAACATCTTCTAAGACAACAACGCCCATTTACACCATAAAGAACTCATAACCCACCTACTTTCAGCAGCCAGAAACACCATAACCAGGCACTGGAGAGACCTGTCAGGAGTAAGCATGGACCAATGGTACTAAATAGTATGGGAAACAGCCCTACTAGAAAAATTAACCAATACAGTGGTGCCTCGCAAGACGAAATTAATTCGTTCCGCAAGTTTTTTCTTCTTGCGAGTTTTTCGTCTTGCGATGCACGGTTTCCCATAGGAATGCATTGAAAATCAATTAATGCGTTCCTAGGAAGCCGACTTCAGACCAGGTCCGGGGACAGTCTGTCCCCGACCTCTTCTGAAGGCTGGGGGGGACAAGGGCTTTCTTCCCACCCCCAGCATTTTAAAACCCGGGACAGCGGAGAGCTTCTCCGCTGTCCGGAGCGATCTTAAAATGCTGGCGGGCGGCATTTAAAATTGCCCCGGGACAGCGGAGGACTTCTCCGCTGTCCGGGGCAATTAAAGCCCCTGGGAAGGCAGGCAGGGGGACAAGACTTTGCCCCCGCCAGCCTTCAGAAGAGGTCCTGGACCTCTTCTGAAGGTTGGCGGGGCGAAGTCTTTGTCCCCCACCTGCCTTCAAAAGCTGTCCAGCCAAGGCCGCGGACCTCTCCGCAAGCAGCGGCAGCACTGCCGCTGCTTGCGGAGAGTTGCCGGCATGCCGAAGCCTGCGCGCGCTGAGATCAGCGCGCCCAGGCTTCGCGGACCTCTCCGCGAGCAGCGGCAGCGCTGCCGCTGCTCGCGGAGAGTTGCCGGCATGCCGAAGCCTGCGCGCGCTGAGATCAGCGCGCCCAGGCTCCGCGGACCTCTCCGCGAGCAGCGGCAGCGCTGCCGCTGCTCGCGGAGAGTTGCCGGCATGCCGAAGCCTGCGCGCGCTGAGATCAGCGCGCCCAGGCTCGCGGACCTCTCCGCGAGCAGCGGCAGCGCTGCCGCTGCTCGCGGAGAGTTGCCGGCATGCCGAAGCCTGCGCGCGCTGAGATCAGCGCGCCCAGGCTCCGCGGACCTCTCCGCGAGCAGCGGCAGCGCTGCCGCTGCTCGCGGAGAGTTGCCGGCATGCCGAGCCTGCGCGCGCTGAGATCAGCGCGCCCAGGCTCGCGGACCTCTCCGCGAGCAGCGGCAGCGCTGCCGCTGCTCGCGGAGAGTTGCCGGCATGCCGAAGCCTGCGCGCGCTGAGATCAGCGCGCCCAGGCCTCGCGGACCTCTCCGCGAGCAGCGGCAGCGCTGCCGCTGCTCGCGGAGAGTTGCCGGCATGCCGAAGCCTGCGCGCGCTGAGATCAGCGCGCCCAGGCTCCGCGGACCTCTCCGCGAGCAGCGGCAGCGCTGCCGCTGCTCGCGGAGAGTTGCCGGCATGCCGAAGCCTGCGCGCGCTGAGATCAGCGCGCCCAGGCCTCGCGGACCGGAGATTTCCTATGGGCTTTCGTCTTGCGAAGCAAGCCCATAGGGAAATTCGTTTTGCGAAGCGCCTCCAAAACGGAAAACCCTTTCGTCTAGCGGGTTTTTCGTCTTGCGAGGCGTTCGTCTTGCGGGGCACCACTGTAAACTGGAACTGACACGGGGACAAATACAAGAAGACGCCTTCACCCCGGTATGGCTCCCCTTTATCACATACACAGCCCAACAAGACAATGACAATCATCCACCAACAGCATACAAATCAATATGGCTAACCTGATCCAAAACACCCACCCACCCCACTCACACATGAAAACAAAGACCACCGCAGCCAGCCACAAATGAACAGCCACACCCTAGGCCAACCCCAACCTCTCTCACCACCAAAGAAACACAAGTGAACAGCAGAGAACCTGCGAGAACGCTGATCTCAGCGCGCGCAGGCTTCGCGGACCTCTCCGCGAGCAGCGGCAGCGCTGCCGCTGCTCGCGGAGAGTTGCCGGCATGCCGAAGCCTGCGCGCGCTGATCTCAGCGCGCGCAGGCTCAGCGGACCTCTCCGCGAGCAGCGGCAGCGCTGCCGCTGCTCGCGGAGAGTTGCCGGCATGCCGAAGCCTGCGCGCGCTGAGATCAGCGCGCCCAGGCTCCGCGGACCTCTCCGCGAGCAGCGGCAGCGCTGCCGCTGCTCGCGGAGAGTTGCCGGCATGCCGAAGCCTGCGCGCGCTGAGATCAGCGCGCCCAGGCCTCGCGGACCGGAGATTTCCCTATGGGCTTTCGTCTTGCGAAGCAAGCCCATAGGAAATTCGTCATGAAGCGCCTCCAAAACGGAAAACCCTTTCGTCTAGCGGGTTTTCGTCTTGCAGGCGTTCGTCTTGCGGGGCACCACTGTAAACTGGAACTGACACGGGGACAAATACAAGAAGACGCCTTCACCCAAGTATGGCTCCCCTTTATCACATACACAGCCCAACAAGACAATGACAATCATCCACCAACAGCATACAAATCAATATGGCTAACCTGATCCAAAACACCCACCCACCCCACTCACACATGAAAACAAAGACCACCACAGCCAACCACAAATGAACAGCCACACCCTAGGCCAACCCCAACCTCTCTCACCACCAAAGAAACACAAGTGAACAGCAGAGAACCTGCGAGAACAACGCTGACACCAAACCCTACATACATTAAGCAAAAGAGAAACATCGCCACCCCACCCCCACCCATATCCCCCCCCTCCACCCCTTTTCTTCCTAATGTCTCAATAAATGAAACTGATTTGTAAAAATGTTACATGGAAAAAATACGAGAGACATTACATATACTTCTGTAAAACAAGAAAATCTTTAATAAAAAAAATTTAAAAATTAAAAGCGCAGGAAAACTAAAGGGGAGCAAGGCAAAGAGAGCTTAAAGGCAGCTTTCTTTTTTAAATTTTTTTAAAAATATATACTTCTCAGATACACAGTGGTACCTCTAGTTATGAACTTAATTCGTTCCGGAGGTCCGTTCTTAACTAGAGGCGTGCTTTCGCTAATGGGGCCTCTTGCTGCCGCTGGCACACGATTTCCGTTCCCCTCCTGGGGCAAAATTCTCAACTCGAGATAACTCTTCCAGGTTAGCAGAGTTTGTAACCTGAAGCGTTCGTAACCTGAGGAACCACTGTACAGTGGTACCTAGGGTTAAGTACTTAATTCGTTCTGGAGGTCCGTTCTTAACCTGAAACTGTTCTTAACCTGAAGCACCGCTTTAGCTAAGGGGGCCTCCCGCTGCCGCCGCACGATTTCTATTCTCATCCTGAAGCAAAGTTCTTAACCCGAGGTACTATTTCTGGGTTAGCGGAGTCTGTAACCTGAAGCGTATGTAACCAGAAGCGTACGTAACCCGAGGTACCACTGTATACATTCCACTGATTTTACAATCATTCTGACATTTTAAAACGTGACTTCCTTCCTCCTCTTTCTGCGGTTCCTTAAATTTATCTTTCCCCAGAGTTTACCTGGATCAAGATCTCCGCAGGAATCTCCTCCACTTTCTTTGGGGCGATGTTCTGGATGCGAATGAAGTGGTTGCCGGCAGCCGGGGTTCCCTGCTTTCTCTCTGGCAAGGGCAGCCTGACGGCAGGGGGGCTCGAGGCAGAGTCCAGGCGCTTGGGCTGCTGGAGGACCGATGCTGCCATCCCGACCGTGGCCACCCTCAGCACCGAGGCGGGCACCGATTCCGCTTCGCCGGGCGGCCCGCTAGCGGCGGGGGAGGCCTTGCTGTTTGGCGGGTCCGCCGCCACGCGGTCCACGCTGGTGTCGATCTGAGCTTCCATCATGGACATTTTCAAAATGTCCGCCACTGCCGTCTTTGCGGACACCTGGGCGGGAAAGAGGTTTGGAAGGGGCGGCGCAAGCTTGGGCACCGCGCTGATGCTGGTCACCTTGGAGACGGTGGGCGGCTGGTGGCCTTCAAAGGTTATCTTTGTAACAGAGGATCCTTGGGTTATGATGGGCTGGTGCACCTGGAAATTAAAAGGGGGTTTATGCACGTTACAGGCAGGTTGGCTGGACGCATGGCGCTACTTAAACCTACCGTATTTTTTGCTCTATAAGACTCACCTTTTCCCTTCTAAAAAGTAAGGGGAAATGTGTGTGCATCTTATGGAGCGAATGCAGGCTGCACAGCTATCCCAGAAGCCAGAACAGCAAGAGGGATTGCTGCTTTCACTGCGCAGTGATCCCTCTTGCCGTTCTGGCTTCTGAGATTCAGAATATTTTTTTCCTTGTTTTCCTCCTCCAAAAACTAGGTGCGTCTTATGGTCTGGTGCTTCTTATAGAGCGAAAAATACGGTAAATGACAGTAATAAACAACAGCAACAGGGGCGTGATTTTGAAAGTCAAAGTGCTGTGAGACAGAATAATCCATAGCAACGTAAGGGGGATAATAAGTTATGAGGCAGGAGAGGCTTTCAGACTGCGAGGTGCCTTGCTTAGGCATCTACAACCAGCAGTCCCGTATTCCTTTGGGATTTACACCCCCCAAAGCATTTCCCTGCTCAATTCCACCCCTGCCCCCACCTCAAAAGGCTCAGAGAGCCAGTTTTTAAAAGAGAGGAGTGACTTTTTGCCCCTAAGCGTCTATGGAAATCGATACATGTTTTTGTCTACTGATTCATTTTTCCTTGGTTTCCCCTTCATGGTTTTGCGCCCTTCCCCAAGGAAAAGTAGGTTTGCTCTTCTCAGAGAAAGCAGTTTTTACTAAGCTGAGGGTGATGTAAAACGACAAAGGAAGACGTACAATGGAGGTCCTTAGAGTGCCGCCGGGCCTTCGTCTTTACGTTCCACAGAAATTAACAAAAAAAGGTATTACGGGGACAGAAATCAATAACTTTATACCTAAAAAGAAGAACAAAACAAAAGTGAAAATGAAATAAAATCAGGAAATCGGTCCACGCAATGGCAGTTGCAAAAGATCTGTATTTAGAAAGCGTCTGAAACTAACAGAAATCACCAGCCTGGCGGGGCTTCTCTTCCTAGCACAGAGAGGGGTCGCTCCTTCCTTGCACCCAGCTCTGACTTTCAAAAAATACACTCCTGGCACAGCATAGCTTAAACGTGAGCCTAATCACCGCGCAACTATGAAGCTAAATGGGTGGCCTTGGAGCCAGACATTCCCTCAGCCTAAGGGTCACAGCTCAGATCAGCTGCCTTGTATGTCAAAGCTCCCAATTTGAATCCCCAGCAGCAGGTAGGGCTGGGAGAGACCTCTGAAACCACGGAGAGCCTCTGTCAGTCAGGGTAGATAATGCTGAGCTAGGGAGACTCACGGTCTGACAGCATATAAGACAGCTTTCTATGTTGTTCCCTTACCTTTCCCGCCCCGACCTGGCCACAGTGATTCATGCGACGGTCACCTCCAGGCTTGACTACTGTAATTCGCTCTACGCGGGGCTGCCCTTGAAGCTGTCCCAGAAACTCCAGCGGGTACAGAATGCTGCAGTGAGGCTCCTCACGGGGTCTCTGCCATGGGAGCATATTCACCCAGTGCTTTTCCAGCTGCACTGGCTCCCGGTGGAGTACAGGGTCAGATTTAAGGTGCTGGTTTTGACCTTTAAAGCCCATCATGGCCTAGGACCCTCGTACCTATGGGACCGCTTCTCCTGGTATGCCCCATGGAGGACCTTAAAGTCCATAAACAGCAACACCCTAGTGGTCCCGGGCCCTAAGGAAGTTAGATTAACTTCAACCAGAGCCAGGGCCTTTTCAACACTGGCTCCGGCCTGATGGAAGGCTCTGCCTCATGAGACCAGGGCTCTGCAGGATCTGATTTCTTTCCGCAGGGCCTGTAAGACAGAGTAGTTCTGCCTGGCCTTTGGCTTGGAGCCAATTTGATTCCCTCCCCCTCTTTCTTTTTTCTTTTCCTTTCTCCTCCTGCGATGAGGTTTCAATATTTTAATGTTGCATTTTAATTTTGTTTTTAAGTTGTATTCATTCGATTTGTTTTTATTATTGCTTGTTAGCCGCCCTGAGCCCAGCCTTGGCTGGGAAGGGCAGGGTATAAATAAAAATTATTATTATTATTATTTTCTTCCTATGCTCCCTCACAGGGCTGTAGCGAGGATAAAATGGGGACAAGGAGAACCAAGAACGCTACCTTGTGCTCCTTGGAGGAGAGAAGTCATCATAAATACAGAACGATTGCAAGTTATGTGCATTTAACCTGCACAACCGTGCAACTTAAATCCAAGCAAGGTGGAGCATTTAAAAGTTCTTTTGGGCTTCCCTGGCACGGAAAGGGATGTGAAGCTCTCCGCCTTGCTTTTGGGGTGGAGGGAGGGCAAAACCCTCTTGGAGCACTGCTTGTGGGAGGCTCTCAATGTCCTGTAAAGCTATCTGAGATCCGGCAAGATCTCAAATGAGCATCGCTGTGTTACTTTTATTGTTGTTAGCCGCTCTGAGCCCGGCTTCGGCTGGGGAGGGCAGGATATAAATAAAATATTATTATCGCCAGCATTCCAGAGTGGGCACACCGAATAGGCCTTGCCCCCCAAACACAGAATCGTAGAGTTGGAAGGGAACCCAAGGGTCATCTAGTCCAACCCCCTGCAATGCAGGAATCTCAGCTAAGGCATCCATGGCAGATGGCCATCTAACCTTTGCTTAAAAACCTCCAAGGAAGGAGAGTCCACAACCTCCCAAGAGAGACCGTTCCACTGTCTAACAGCTCTGACTGTTACAACAGTTCTTTCTGATGTTTAGTCGGAATCTCCTTTCTTGTAACATGAAGCCATTGGTTCGAGTCCTACCGTCCAGGGCAGGAGAAAACAAGCTTGTTCTCTCTTCCATGTGACAACCCTTTAGCTATTTGAAGATGGCGGATATCTGAAGCAAGGTGGAGAGCTTAAAAGCTCCTAAACGGCCTTGGTCCAGTATACTTGAAGGACCTCCATTGTTCTGCCCGGACTCTGAGGTCCAGCACCGAGGGCCTTCTGGCGGCTCCCTCGCTCCGAGAAGCCAAGTTACAGGGAACCAGGCAGAGGGCCTTCTCGGTAGTGGCACCTGCCCTGTGGAACGCCCTCCCAACCAGATGTCAAAGAGAAAAATAACTACCAAACTTTTAGAAGACATCTAAAGGCAGCCCTGTTTAGGGAAGCTTTTAATATTTAATAGGTTATTGTATTTTAGTGTTTCATTGGAAGCCGCCCAGAGTGGCTGGGGGGACCCAGCCAGAGGGGCGGGGTATAAATAATAAATTATTATTATTACTATATGGAACTGGCGGAAATGACTGGTAGAATCCATGACCAGGGAGAAGAGTCGGTGGAGGAAGATTGGAAGAAATTCAAAGACTATCTGCAGAAACATTGCAAAATTAAAGAATGTTAGAGTGATGTTGGATTGAAAATAAGTGGCTTCTAGCTATACAGGCTTTAAAGTTATATATAGATCAAGATTAAGGATTAGGATTAAAAAGATAAAGGAAATGGAAATTTGGCTTTTAAGAGGTAAAAATTTAATGTTATATTATATTAAGATTAAGGATTGGGATTAAAAAAGAGGAAAAGAAATTGCTGGACAAACAAATTGAACTGGAATACAAAAGAGGGAGGTATGAGGAGGTCCAGAAAATAAGTAAATTTAAAAATGGTGATGAAAAGGTGGTATTGTTTTTAAATGTTTTCTTTTTTGTCTTTTGCTTTTTCTTTTCTTTTTTCTTTTTTGGATTATGTATTGTGTATTTCTGAACTGTGTATTTTTCTTTTTTTACGTTTAATTTTTTACTGATGTGTTTGGAAACTTTAATAAATATCATTTAAAATAAATAAATAAATAAATTATTATTATTAGTATTGCCCTGGTTTTGCATGGAACGAAAAGAGTGTTTAGCCTCTCTGCTTTGCTTGGAGGGCAAGACTTGATTGAAAGGCCTGGGCTCTGGCAGTGCTGGGCACACTCTCTGTCTCCCACCTGCCCCAAGTTGCCAGACATGAGACGGCTCAAAGGGTCTGAGTTCAGGTGGTTTTGGGGTTTAGTTGGAACCCTTGGACCCAACCCCGTGCGAAAGATGCGACTGTATTGTAATAAAAATTGTAAGAGCAGAGGGAAGGGTGCTTGGGAACAGGAGCACAAGCACGAAAAGCCCCAAAGGCCCTATATATTTGCCACTGGTTCTCTGCCCCCTTAGCTCTGTCCTCGCCAAAGCCTCAACTTCCTCACAGGCAAATCATATGAGTGCTACCAAGTGGTGTCCATCGACAGGAGGAGACGGTGGCTGCTCTGTTCAACACGGCATTACATAAAACCAAAGAAATTATTGTGAAAATCCCTGAAACGAGAAGTAATCGACTATAGAATAACAAAAATCAAAAAAATAAACTAGAATTAAACAAAGACTTTACGAGATGCCAGCTACAAAACTCGTTTCACCAAACTAATCAGTTTCCTCAGAAGGAAATAAAGAAACAAACTGAATTTCTTATTACTAGTGCTTGGTTCTCTTAAATAAGGTTCACGTTTAAAACTTTTTTGAGTTTCTGCCCTGTTTTCTGAGTTTGTTTGAAACTTTAAAACCTCAATTTCTTATCACTACTGCTGGATTCTCTTAAATAGGGCTATGTTTAAAACTTGTCACTGAGGTTTTCATACCTTTTTTGTAAACTCGAGGAAGCATTTTCAGCCCTGCTCTTGAGCTTGTTTGATCCCACTTAAAATCTTATAATTTCTTTATTCCCTTCTGAGGAAACGGATTAGTTGAGTAACGAGTTTTGTAGCCGGCATCTCATAAAGTCTTTGTTTAATTCTAGTTTGAGTTTTTGTTATTCTATAGTCAATTACTTCTCGTTTCAGGGATTTTCACGGTAATTTCTTTTGTTTTGTGTAATTTCTTGGTTCCATGACTGTTCAACATGGCAGCTTCCATGGGGCCCTCAAGGCAAGTGGAATTCCCCCCCCCAACCCCTCGCAGCACCCCCAGCACCCGAGTCCTTTACCTGGCTCGCCGGCTGCTTCTCAGGAGGAGTCGAGAGCTGCATCTGTCCCTGGGGCGGCTGGGGCTGGACGTAGATCTTTTGGGCGGTGGGCGCCTGCTGAAGTTTAGGCAACTGCTGGGTGGTCTTGACAGCCAGGACCTGGACCACCGTCTGCTGGGGCTGGGCCACCAAGGTGGGCAGCTGCCTCTCGCGAGCTATGGGGTGGTGGGGAGGAGGAGGAGGTGGCGCCGCCGCCTGCGGGGCATCCAGCTTGGGCTGGGCCAGCTCCTGCGGCAGCGGGGCAAGCTTCTGGTGCCGGATGGAGAGCTGGGGCATCTGGGGCAGTTTGTGGGGCAGCTGTTCTGCCTGGAGGTGGATGGTCTGCTTCTGCTTGGCCTGGAAGCACTGGAGGGTCTTGACCTGAAGCTGCGTCTGCTCCAGCTGGGGCGGCTGGCTCAGCTTCTGCTGCTTCTGCGCCTGCACCAGCGCCGAGCGGTAGAAGAGGCCCGTCTGGGGGTCCAAGGTGTCCATCTCCTCTACCTCCCCTTCCTCTGTCCCCAGCTGCTCGCTGTGCTTGGTAAAGGCCGTGTGGCTGCTCAGGGCCTTGAGGAGAGGGAGCAAAAAACGTCAGCGTTCAATGCATTCATACGGGATATCACTGCCCATATGAACCAGCCTGGACCCTGCAATCGTGATCTGAGTGTTAGAATTCCTGCTCCGTGATTGCAGTCATGGGATTGTTGTCTTTCACATGACGGTGTATGTTTAGACTCCACAGAGTGGGAATTGACGGAGACAGGATGTTTGTGTTACTGTGTTCCGTGAAGTGGGACTATTGTCCTTTGTTCTTTTTCTCTTTGCTGCCTGATGCTAGAGAGAGAAGGAGCCGTGTTGCAGTGCTCCGTGTGTGTTTATGTGTAAATAAAGGAGATTAGCCAAAATGCTGAGTTGCTGAGGTCTGTTATGCAAAGCTGTGAAGACTCTGCAGATCCCTAAGTGTGCCGATGTCTGTTGGCATCGGCCACTGTGATGTTTGGGCAGAAAAAGGCTTTTGAAGCTCCCGAACAATCGACCAGGAGGGAGGGAACATGCCAGTCGGGCATGTGTCTTTGCCAGGGTCCTACTCAAGTGTAGGCTGAACTCCTGATACTGAGGTCCTTCTTCACGTGCATCCTCCATGAGAAGTCCGGAGGGTGGCAACACGAGAATGGATCTTTTCTGAGCTGGCTCCCTGCCTGTGAACTGCTCTCCCAAGGGATGCCTGCCTGGTGCCATCCTTACATATCCCTAGGTACCAGGCAAAAACATTCCTTTTCTCCTAAAGTTTTGGCTGATTGAGAAATCTGTGGTCTTTTAAATGTGTATGTATGGGGTATTATTATTATTACCACAGTGGTAACTTCGTTCTCAAACTTAATCCGTTCCAGAAGTCCGTTCCAAAACCAAAGCCTTCCAAAACCAAGGTGCGCTTTTCCATAGAAAGTAATGCAAAATGGATTAATCCTTTCCAGACTTTTAAAAACAACCCCTAAAACGGCAATTTGGCATGACTTTTACTATCTAACGAGACCGTTGATCCATAAAATGAAAGCAATAAACAATGTACTGCAGTCGCACGATCAATCAATCAGTAGCTGAACTGAGTTCCACACAGTCATAAAAACAAAACAAAAAGAGCCAGAAAAACGCAAAATAAATAGCAAAACCAGACAGACCTCAGCGTAACACTCAAAACAGAAGTGTGGCACTCAAATCGGAAGCATAACACTCAAAATGGAGCGCATTCGGCTTCCAAAAAAAAGTTTGCAAACCGGTACACTTACATCCGGGTTTGCAGTGTTTGGATTCCAAGTTGTTTGAGTACCAAGGCGTTTGAGAACCAAGGTACCACTGTATTAGGTTCTCTGGGGAGGGAGTTTCCAAATCTCTAGCATCACCACCTCAAGAGGGGAAACACAGCTAGGCACCGGAGGCCCAATCGCCGGAACCTCCCTGGAGCGAAAAAAGGCCGCGCTGGAGAGACGGTTACCAACCTGCTGCATGATGTGGGTAATGGCGCCCGTGGAGGAAGCTGGGATGGATTTCACCACGACCGACGTTTGCGTTGCTGTCTGGGACTGGGCCACGTGCTGCAGCAGAGTCCGCTGGGGCTGGGAGGACTGCTGGTGAGGCTGGGACCGGTGGCTAACTGGAAGTGAGAAAGGGAAGGAAGGAAGAAAAAGATCAGCGGTAGCCTCTCAGGGTGTGTCGCAAAGCTGCCTGCTCCACTGGAATTCTCATGAAGCCATGGAAAAATTGGTGAGATTTAAAGTAAGTGTGTTCAGTGTGCTAGTCTTACATGCTGGGGTCAAAGGGGTGTGGATCAGCCTTTGCCTCTAAGTGCTTTGAACTACAACTCCCCACAGCCCTAGGACTGGTGAAGGCTGATGTACAGCTACAGGCAGGTGGGGAATGTCACCTAAAGTGACGGTGTAGATCTGGGAGGGACAGGTGGGGCAGGAAGGAACAGAGAGCACCGCTTCTAAGCGGCCACCATGTTCCAAAACTTGCTCAAGAATGCCAAAGGGTACAGCACGGAGTGGGGTTGTACACTGCAAGGATCCCAGCCTGCACCTTTCTCCTACGTGCACAGACACACACGCACAGGATCTCCGTCAGCAAGTTTCCGGGGGAAAGAGCAGAGACTGTCCTTGATGCATTGTTGACCCCACCTGCGGAGCTTTAACTTCACCCACTATAAATGGAAAAGAGGGTTGTCGACAGCTACTAGCCATGATGGTTATTGCTCTGCCACCACGGCTGGGAGGCAGGGATGCTTCTGAATGCCAGTTGCTGTAAACCACAGAAGGGGAGAGGGGGCACTTGCGTTTGAATCCTGCTTGCGCGTTTCCCATAACGAGCATCTGGTTGGCCACTGTAAGAGCAGAGTGCGGTACTACTTGGGTCATTGGCCTGATCCAGCAGGCTCTTCTTATGTTCTTATGGCCAATTGTTCTTGGCCATTTGTTCATTCCTACGGAGAAAAGCAAAGGGTGGGTGGAATGGGGCCAAATCTGCTCCCTGCCCTGGGATTCCAAGTCTCCTCCTGCCGAGTCACAGTGGAGCTTGACAGAAAGGTTGCAAGCTGGTTTTCCACAGCTATCCCCCAAACAGGTGGAGGCTTCTGAAGGCTCAGGAAAACCAAGTCCCCGTCAGAATGTCTCGTTTCCCCGTCCTTTGCAGTTCAAGTGAACACACAAGGTGTCTTCCAAAAACCTACACACTAGTAAGGGTTAGGAACAAAACCACATTCTTAACACCCTGTGCAAATACACACAAGTGGATAACACAATGTTAAGAAAGGCCTGGCAGCTGGGTCCAACTAACTGAGCATTCTGTTCTCACAGTGGCCAACCAGAAGCCTACCAGGAACCCTGTGGACTTGTCCTGGTTAAAGGTGCCAAGTTTTGGGTCTTTTCTATCATCTTCTGCATCACTGCAATGGCACAAGTGAAACTCGCTCTTGAGTAATTGCTTTCAATAACTCTGCCCTCGCAGAAAATTCTGTACACCAAGAAACTCACAAGGAATCCTGGTTAATAATTGTGAGTAGGCAAAGGCCCAGAAATGTTATGCTTTAAAAAAACAAAAAAATAACGAGTAATTTGTTGGCACACTCCACTGAGAGAGAAAAAAAAGTCCTAAATCTTCAAATGAAGTGTGGGAAATCAATAGGCTCATTAAAATCCAGCAACAGTTACCTAGGAATTTGCCCAGGCTAAGATCCAAACCATCTCCACGCCTCTTCCCCAGTTACATAGTTTACATAGATGCCTTGTGAACAAGCCTCTATGTGGTCAGAAGCCTCCATATGACTATTGAAGCTGTCAATTCTGACAACTGCTACAGTCACCCACAGAAAGCCTCCTTCCAGACCCTAGAGCAGCCTTTCTCAACCTGTGGGTCCCCAGATGTTGTTGGACTACAACTCCCATCATCCCTGAGCTCTGGCCTTGCTAGCTGGGGTGATGGGAGTTGTAGTTCAACAACATCTGGGGACCCACAGGTTGAGAACCGCTGCCCTAGAGCCATCAGTCACATGCTTGCCCACTCCTTGCCAGGCTTTTCTTCACTTTTTGCAATGGTGCAGAGGAACAAGTAGTCACGGCAACGTTCTAGTTCTCTCTGCTACCACAGAAAGGCTAAAACAAAGTGCCCATGGTTGACAGTAGCAGCTGTCATAACCAACAGCCAATACAATCAACTGGAGACTTCAAACTGCTAATCTATAAGCACTTGGGCAAAGCTTTCCAGTGTAAAAAATAAAATAAATTGGAAATGTACTGATCCAGATAAAATAACGGATCCCAATGCTGACGCACACCAGCACTTCCATGCTGTATAAGGTCACTCCAAGGGCCTCCAGAACAGTCTATAAATTTTTTTAATGTCTTTTAGAAATAAAACATCTAACCTATGTGGCTTTGGAGGTATTCTTCCGAATGTGAAGGAATACAGTGCTGTCTTCCTGAGTCTGCAGATAGACAAAGATGTTAGAGATACGAGAAGAGGCGATTTGCTCTGCTCATCTCCAGCCAGCGCTTGCTCTAAAGCAAAACCAACTATTTGTCGTGATCTGTCCAGAACAGGAGTCTTTCCCAGCTGTAGACACTGGGGCTTGAACCTGGGACCTTCTGCACGCAGAGCAAGTGCTCCAACCAGCGTGTTGCAAAATGTTCCTCAAATGCAAACAGAGCGCCGGCTAGATCAGAACAAAGACTAACCTACATCTCATCTAACATCCAATCTCAACTTCGGCGCACGTTCTGCAGGAGTCAAGCCATGAAGTGGAGAGGAAGGGTAGGCTATACAGCCACCAAGGAAATTTTCAAGCGTTAGGGAGGCAGACATCAACTGCTCTGCATTGCAGGGGGTTGGGCTCAAGGACGCTTTGGCTCCCACCCAACTCTACAATTCTATTGTTCTGTTTGACAAGAATCTGTGGCAAGCTATTCCACAGGCTCCATTATTTGGGCAGGGGTGTGTGTGAGAGGGAGAGTGGGCAAGACGGGAGGCAAACAGCAGCTGAGAAAAGCAGCCACCTACAATCTTCCCAGATACACACCGTGGAGACTGCCTCCTTCCCAAATACAATCCATAAAGCCAGGCAAAAACAGGATCTGCTAGGCATGAAGAAGGGATGGGAAATGGAGAGGCTTTCACAGTACTTCCAAATCCTGGAGTTGGGAGCTTGTTATCCCTGTTTTTCTTGGAGGGGACCAAGTGTGGGTAGTGAGAGAGGCACTCTGCATTTATTCAGAAGAACCACTAATTCCTGAACGTGGTTCAGCTGCAGGCTCCAAGATGGAGCCGTAGTACCAGTTACGCCCAAACTATTCTCTCTAGCCACTCCCCAGAGTTGGCACTTTCTTCTCCCCAAGATCTGTCAGCGCTCAAAAGTAAGAATTTAACAGCAGCCCTGCTGATCAGACCACAAGGCCTAGGAAGACCTTCATTCTCTGCCCCAAGTGGATAACCAGCCCACAAGCAGGGCATTAAAGCAACAGTCCTCTTTCCACCGTTTGTCCCCAGGTAAAAAGATAAAGGTAAAGGGACCCCTGACCATTAGGTCCAGTCGTGACCAACTCTGGGGTTGCGGCGCTCATCTCGCTTTACTGGCCGAGGGAGCCGGTGTACAGCTTCTGGGTCACGTGGCTGTATGACTAAGCCACTTCTGGTGAACCAGAGCAGCGCACGGAAACACCGTTTACCTTCCCGCTGGAGCGGTACCTATTTATCTACTTGCACTTGACGTGCTTTCAAACTGCTAGGTTGGCAGGAGCAGGGACCGAGCAACGGGAGCTCACTCTGTCGCGGGGATTCGAACCACCGACCTTCTGATCGGCAAGTCATAGGCTCTGCGGTTTAACCCACAGTGCCACCTCAGGCAGGTTGCCTCTAAACATGGAAGTTCCATTTAGCTATCATGGCTACTAGCAATTGATGCGACTTCTCTTCCTCCAAGGAGTTCTCTAATCCCCCCTCCAAACCAAGTGCCACAACCACAACCTGTGGCAGCAAGTTCCATGCTAATCATGTACTCTTCAGTGACAATCTACTCCAGGCACCCCCAAACTCGGCCCTCCAGATGTTTTGGGACTACAACTCCCATGATCCATAGCTAACAGGACCAGTGGTCAGGGATGATGGGAATTGTAGTCCCAAAACATCTGGAGAGCTGAGTTTGGGGGTGCCTGATCTACTCTCTCTGCCCTGTTCATTCATTCAGAGCTCTACTGCATCAAACCCGCTTCCCCAAAAGATTGTTTGTTTTTTTTGCAGTAAGGAAAGTGATGGGAATGCAAAGGAAAGCAAGGGATAGCACACCTTCTAAATCAGGATGGATGCTCAATAAACTGGTCGTTGGGAGGTCCCAAAAGTCTGTGAAGTTTTCCACATCCTGCTTGCAATATACCGTATATATTTTGAAGTCCCACCAGGACCTTCTCCCCCTCGCATGTCTCCTACGTGACTCACCAGTGGTGATGTATTCTGCAACCAGTTCTGACTCCACCACGGCGATAGAGGGGCTTTCTGGAGAATGTCGCTTCTCTTGGGTCATCTGGATGGGAACTGCCATTTGGCTCAGATCAATCGTTGGCTGCCTTGGCTTGGATTCCAATTTCTCCTTCACTGCTCCGCCATAAAGGAGAAAAAAAAGAGCAGAGAACACTGTTGTTGCTTTTTGTTTTGGTCTCAAGACTAAGTTAAGCACATAAGCCCCCAATGACGCATGCCAAAAAAATTATTCATTTATTTATTGCATTTCTTTGCCACTTTGTAATTCAAGGAGATGTACAGGCAACTCCCCATTTTTATGCGCAACTGCACACACATGCAGCAAAGGGGCACGAAAGGGGAAAAGCGGGCCTAAAAGAGCACAAAAAGGGCAAAAATTGTGCAAAAACAGCATCTGTTGTTGTTTAGTCGTTTAGCCGTGTCCGACTCTTCATGACCCCATGGACCAGAGCACGCCAGGCACTCCTGTCTTCCACTGCCTCCCGCAGTTTGGTCAAACTCATGCTGGTAGCTTCGAGAACACTGTCCAGCCATCTCGTCCTCTGTCGTCCCCTTCTCCTTGTGCCTCCATCTTTCCCAACATCAGGGTCTTTTCCAGGGAGTCTTCTCTTTTCATGAGGTGGCCAAAGTATTGGAGTCTCAGCTTCAGGACCTGTCCTTCCAGTGAGCACTCAGGGCTGATTTCCTTCATAATGGATCGGCTGGATCTTCTTGCAGTCCATGGGACTCTCAAGAGTCTCCTCCAGCACCATAATTCAAAAGCATCAATTCTTCGGTGATCAGCCTTCTTTATGGTCCAGCTCTCACTTCCATACATCACTACTGGGAAAACCATAGCTTTAACTATACGAACCTTTGTCAGCAAGGTGATGTCTCTGCTTTTTAAGAGCAGAGCTCTTAAACGGCATCTAGCAATCCCATAAGCCTTTGCAAAGGCAATCCCAGGAGCCTTTGCATCGACGCTTGAGGCCTGTGGAGAGTTGGCGCTTGAGCAAGGAGGTTTGGAGGGAGCGAATGGGCTGCTTTCAGGCTTTTGCAACCGTATTCCAAACATACGCAATTTCACTTAAACATGTGGTGCCTCAGTACATAACCCCCGCGTAAATGGGGAGTTGCCTGTACGTGGTTCTCGGCTCTCCTCATTTAATCCCCACAACAACCCTGTGGGCTAGGTTAGGCTGAGAGGTAGCGACTTTCCCAAGGTCACTCAGTGAGCTGCATGGCCGAGTGGGGATTTGAACCCTGGTCCCTCAGAATCCAGTCAGACAATCTAACCACCACGCCACACTGGCTCTCTAGGGAAAGGGAGTGAGCGGCACACACAGACAGGACCAAGTCCTTTTCTGCCACTGAAATAAAAACGCAAGCTAGTTGACGCAAGGGAGCCACAGACGCTCCGGAATCAAGAGCACCCACCTGTTGTTTGCTGCAGCTCCAACAGCGCTTTAATTGTCGAAGTGGCCGACTGGGATTCACTGGAGACGTCCTGGTAGATTATGGTAGGGCTGGAGTCCACAGCAATCTCGTGTTCTGACCAATCCTGGCTTCGGGAGGCAATGACGTGAACCACAGGCTGGGAATCTGAGACACAAAGGAACGTAAGATCGTAAGGAGAGCCTGCTGGATCAGGCCAACGGTCCAGCATCCGGTTTTCACAACGGCCAAACAGATGCCTGTGGAAAACCTGTGAGCAGGATTCGAGCGTAAGTGCAGTCTAAGTAAAGGTAAAGGGACCCCTGACCATTAGGTCCAGTCGTGGCCAACTCTGGGGTTGCGGCGCTCATCTCGCTTTATCGGCCGAGGGAGCCGGCGTACAGCTTCCGGGTCATGTGGCCCAACGAACCACAGCAGCACACGAAAACGCCGTTTACCTTCCCACCGGAGCGGTACCTGTTTATCTACTTGCACTTTGACGTGCTTTCGAACTGCTAGGTTGGCAGGAGCAGGGACCGAGCAACAGGAGCTCACCCGTCGCGGGGATTCGAACCGCCAACCTTCTGATCGGCAAGTCCTAGGCTCTGTGGTTTAACCCACAGCACCACCCTTTAAGTGCAGTCTATGCTCCTGCAGTTTCCAGCAACTGGTATTCCAGCCATCAATAGCCCTCTCCTCCATGAATCTGTCTAATCGTTTTTTAAAGCCACCCAAGGTGGTGGCCATCACTGTGTGTTCTATTATTTTATCTGCCCTGAATCTTCCAACGTTCAGCTTCATTGGATGAAAAAATTATCTCTATTGTCATTGTCCTATACAGAACAACGAAACTGAAAAAATCTACATAAGACATTCAAAAACCAACAAGCCTGCTATCCCAGCTATCGCAACCTTGCTAGCCCCCTAAAAACTCTGATACCCCATTTTTAAATACAATATACTCCCCTAGGGACTCCTTACACTGCATTTAAAACCAAAACCACATTTGGATAGAAGCTGTTTCTCAGGCGGCTAGTCCTAGTCTTTATAACCCTGTACCTTCTTCCAGAAGGCAGAAGCTGAAAGAGATCATTTCCGGGGTGCGCACTATCCTACGCTATCTCTGCAACTTTCTTATGGCACTTGGAAGCATAGATTTGATCCAAGGTGGGAAGAGTGCACCCAGTTATTCTCTCCGCAGTCTGGACAGCACTTAGAGAAGGGGGGCATATCTAATGAATTGCTTTTGATCTTTCTCCTAGCTAAGCCACAGGCCCATCTTACAGCTTGGGAGCTTTTTGGATGCCAACTCTTCAAAACTAATTTCATGTAACTTCAGGGATGTCAAAGCTGCTGTTCCTCCCACTTCCTCCAATTTGCACTTTGCTGCTCCCTGTTGGCCATCGATCTAGGAGGCCATGTTTTCTTACAAAAATGATCACAGACAAAGATGGAAATAGGAGGAAACCAAGTAGAAGAAGAAGAGTTTGGATTTGATATCCCGCTTTATCACAACCCTAAAGAGTCTCAAAGCGGCTAACATTCTCCTTTCCCTTCCTCCCCCACAACAAACATTCTGTGAGGTGAGTGGGGCTGAGAGACTTCAGAGAAGTGTGACTAGCCCAAAGTCACCCAGCAGCTGCATGTGGAGGAGCGGAGACGCGAACCTGGTTCCCCAGATTACGAGTCCACCGCTCTTAACCACTACACCACACTGGCTCTCTAAGTACTATTGCATTAGCAGGTGCGCGGGCTCTGTTGTGGGTGTACATGGAGCTGCATGTCCTTTTAAGGCCATTGTGCTTGCATGCTATGATTAAGGAAACGTCGTAACCGGGATTAAGGGGCTGGCCATCAACGGGAACTGTCCAAGCCGTAGAATTTTATGATTCTAACTCCATGGACAGATGCACACTAACAACCTGATCAAAGGCCATCTTATGAGCACGCAGAACAGTTGGGGGTGCAGAGCTCAGAAGCCGAGCTCATGAGGCCAGCCAAGGCCATTCTGCTCCCAAAGTCCAAACCACAGAATCATTGAGTTGCAAAGGAACCACTAGGATTATCTAGTCCAACCCCTTGACATGCAGGAATCTTTTGCCCAACGTGGGGCTTGAACCCACGACCCTGAGAGTCTCACGCTCTACCAACTGAGCTATCCCCAGTTTCGTCTCAGTTCCGAAGTCCCCAAATCTATCACGCAACCTCAGGGAAAATATAAAAACCAACCCAAGCCGTATTACGCTAGGAGATCTATGCAGGTTTAACCTTGGGAACCCTGCGAGGATTCTGTTGAAGAGGAGCTGCTGTCTGTGTACGCCTGGGGCTCCTCTTTCACCTCTGGCAGCAAAGCGTTCCCCGCCTCCACCACCCGGGAAGCCTGCTGAAGGGTTTCGGTGACCAGTTGCCTTGTCTGCTCACTCACAACCGTTGCCTGGAAGGTCACTGGCTTTGGCTTGATAAGGACCTGAAAAGAAGGGGGGGGCAGTTTACAGCAGGGGTGGACATTTGTTGACACCAAGGGCAACGTTATCCCCATGCAAAGTTCTTGGGGCCCACATTCCAGCACCAGACCCAGTTCTTCCCACAGAAACAGAGGCATATGTTTAATTCCACTAAAGATTCGGCTTTCGTTTTTTCAGGCTTTTCTTTAAAAAGGCTTTTTTGTGGGAGGGGGGAAATGCTCTCCATCACCCTTTATCTCTCCCGATTGTGCACTCAGCAATCGAAGTGGAAGAATATAAATACAGTCCATAAATAGCAACACCCTAGAGGTCCTGGGCCCTAAGGAAGTCAGATTAGCCTCAACCAGAGCCAGGGCCTTCTCAACACTGGCTCCGGCCTGGTGGAATGCTCTGACCCATGAGACCAGGGCCCTGAGGGATCTGATTTCTTTCCATGTAAGACAGAGTTGTTCCGCCTGGCCTTTGGCTTGGAATCAACTTGATCCCCTTCCCCTCTTTCCTTTCTCCTTCTGTGATGGAACTCCTATTTGGGGACTTCCCTGGTTTTTTCCTGGCCCACGTAGGACTAGTCTGGATAGTTGGCCTTGGTGAAGATTTGACATTTTCATCCCCAAAAAGTTTTTGATTTGAGTTTCCACTGAAATGAGGCTGCATTTTAATGTTGTACTTTAATCTTGTTTTTAAGTTGTATTTTATTCAACTGTTTTTATACCTGGTGTTAGCCGCCCTGAGCCCGGTCTTGGCTGGGGAGGGCAGAGTATAAATCAAAATTATTATTATTATTATTATTATTATTATTATTATTATTATTATTACACAGCTGAACTGGCCCCACAGTTAAGTCAAAGCCTCAAACATCAAAATGCAATTGTGTCCTGCAAAACTGCAGGTTGCAAAATGCATGGACTACACAATATGATTTCAAACATACGCAGTTGAAAGATGCTGGTTGATATTCTACAAGCAAGGTAGAGAGCTTGAAAGTTCTTTTTGCAGCAGGAAAACTGGGCAAAAAACAGCTGTTTAGCTCTCCACGTTACTGGGGAAGCAAGACTTTCTCCATACGCTGGCTCCAGAAGCCCAGGGACGCTCTCACGAGATCTAGTGGCCACAACCCAGACCCAGTGCGCAGAGAAGGCCTTGCTCGCCAAAGCAAGGCAGAGTGTTAAAAAGCTATTTTTATGCTGGTGGTGAAACACGTTTGCCCCCCCCCCAAAAAAAACTTCTTAAGCATACCTGCGTTTTACCCTGCTGCCCATAAACAATTTTGGTCGGGATGATTTTGGTAGCTGGCTGGACGGCAGACCCGATCCCTTTTGGCTGCGTGACGATCATTTTGGTAATGGGCCTGGTGGCAGTGATGATGGCTGGCTTCGCTCCAGCTGGCACCGCTTGGATCGTTTTCTCTCCCTGAGGAAAAAACTTGCAGGTTTGCCTTGGTGAGACTAGGCCAGAAAATTAAAAAATCACACCCATTATGTGACTTAACTCACTTGCTCTCCTCTCATACTCCACCTGCATGGGACAAGCAATTTCCCCCTATGCAACGTAAAGGGTTAAAAGCCCTGTAACTGCATGCTTAAAGGTAAAGGTAAAGGGACCCCTGACCATTAGGTCCAGTCGTGGCCAACTCTGGGGTTGCGGCACTCATCTCGCTTTATTGGCCAAGGGAGCCTGCATACCGCTTCCGGGTCATGTGGCCAGCATGACTTAGCCGCTTCTGGCGAACCACAGCATCGCACGGAAACGCCGTTTACCTTCCCGCCGGAGCGGTACCTATTTATCTACTTGCTCTTTGACGTGCTTTCGAACTGCTAGGTTGGCAGGAGCAGGGACCGAGCAACGGGAGCTCACCCCGTCGCAGGGATTCAAACCGCCGACCTTCTGATCCTAGGCTCTGTGGTTTAACCCACAGCGCCACCCGCGTCCCTACTGCATGCTTAGTGGAGAGCAAACTATACACAAAACTTAAGCTGGATCATCTGAGTAATACATTTGGCACCAGCTTGGCTGCAGAAGTTGCCGGAAGGAGGGTCTACTCTTTAGCCTTTTCTTCTCCCAAAGGCGTCTCCCGCAAGGCAGTGGGTACTGATGACAATGATGAAATAGCGATAATCGCACTTCCTCTCTCTTACCCCCGCATTTAGCAACGTCGTGACCACGTTTTTGCCTGGAAGCCCTTGGATGGTGGTTCCTTTCCCCGTCGTCTTCTGCACGACTATCACGTTGGGCTTCGACGTCACAGGGATGGTTGTGATTTTGGTCGTAGTTCCTTGGTTGCCCGAGTGGGAGGGGAAATAGAAAGGAGGTTCGGTTAGAAGCAGCAGTGCTTGCCCCATTACTGCTGTGGTTACCCCATGGCATTACAATTTAAAACGGCCTCATCCAAGCACCATTTAGGGGGCACCAAGTACAAGAAAACAGCGATGACACCCCCTTCTCTCTATTCCAGCCGGGGCAACCCATAACCACTTCTCCATTCAATGCAATAGAGGGAGCCAAGGTGGCCAGCAGTCACTGGGGAGCTGTAGCTACAGGGGCTTCCAGAGCATGCACCAGCAGGCACAGGGACCCTGGGAAGGGGACAGTTTGCTAGGCCAGGGGCACAACCTCATATCAGGTCAGGTCCAACTGGAAAAACTGAGTGGCAAAGCTGTTTTTTACCTGCCAGACCAGATCTCAGTTAAAAACAGGAGACCGTGTCATCTCATGTGGCTTTGCAGCTTCTCATCGGTAAAACACCAGCAAAGTCACAGGGTGAGGGGTGCTGTGATACCTCATGGAGGGGGCTGGGCTGGGGCTGGGGAATCATGCAAAGGTTTCTAGAGCATTGCAAGTTTTGGGTACCTTTTTGTTGGAAATAGGTCTTCATCAAGGAGTTACCTTTCAAAAAAAGCGAAAATACAACAGCTTGGTCTACACGCAGTGGTATTTGCTCGGAACATTACCAGCTTCCAGGGGGAGGGGGTTTGAATTAAAATACAAACAGACTAAAAATATGCCACTGTTACAGATCAGCATTCATTTGTCTTTTCGACTACAAAGAAAAATGGCGTTTCCATGTGTGTGCCAGCGACTGCCGTTACTGCAAAGATTTATTGTTGCATTGCACAGGAAGCAGGGAAAGGCTTCCTCCACTTTTATTTTTTAAAAATTTATTTCGTTTTGCGACAAAAACAAGACAGCGTATATCATCATAAATGTATGAGTAACATATAGTCAAGAGCATTGGTTAAGTCTGTCGTACTGTGATACATTTGCTCTTCTTTACTTATGACCAGAATTCTCCTTCTTTGTAAACAAAGATGATACTGTAAACAATCGTATTTCAGAGCAGGTCACTTGCTGGCAGTGGTGGGCAGTTACATTCCTTTTGTGCTATGTATTTAATAAACGTGGCTTGCAGCTTTTCTTTGTCATTCTTAAACTGTTCTTTGTACTTCACCTATTGCGTCAGTTTTTCCCTCAATGCAATTGCTGGTACTATTCAGACAGCAAGTTGTCTCCTAAATCTTTCACCTTCTAGCTATGCTGACGGTAAAAATTTAAATAAGTCCTTATTTGTAACATTGTTACTTCCCTCATCAAATTTGAGTAGTAATAACAACCCGATTCTAGGATTTAAGTCTAGTTTCTGACCAGTGACAAGTACCATTTCCTAACAGATACTTTCCCTGGAATTCCTCTATCTTTCCATCCTGGGACTATCTATCTATATCTATGTCAATATAACTCTATCTTATGTGTTGGAGTGTGTGTGGTTTATTCAGCAGTTTCTGTTTCTATTTTGATTATGTATTTTGTGGTTTTTATATTGTAATTTTACCTTGTGAACTGCCCTGAGACCTGCGGGCATAAGGCAGCAAATAAATATAATTCATAAATAATTATAATGATAATTCCTTCTTGCAGCCTACTGCTGGAGCCCACTGTTCAAACATACAGCAGCAACACACAGACAACCCAGCCGAAGCTCCATTGACCCATCTGGTCCCTGCATTTTTCGAGAAACAGGCCTACCTACCGGAAACGATATTGCTGCTGATTATCTTGCCTCCCAGGGTGGCAAGCGATTTGGGGACGACCGTGATGATGCTGCCGCTGGTGGTTTTGACGTAAGTGGCGGCGCCCGATGTGCCAGTCATGCGTGTCCCAATGGACGGGCTGACCGTCGGACGAGTGTAGGTCGCCTGAGTTCCTGGTTCAAAGGGGGGGGAAGGGAAAGGAAGACAGCAGAGGCATCAGCGAGAGGAACCGATACCGCGAGCTGAGAATCAGAGCTCAGCCATTGTATGAGCCGCTGTTCAGAAAGTGGTGCCTGAGTTTCGATTCTTCTCCTCCCGCCGTCGCTTTCCCCTTGTGTGTTGTGCTTTTTAGACTGCAAGCCTGTGGGGAGCGACGGCTTTGTTTTGATTGTATCCAAGCTGCTCCGGGAGCCTTTTTGGCTGAAGAGCAAGGGTACAGATGTTTTAAATGAACAGACACCAATGGGAGGTGAACACTGCCAAAACTGTGCGCATGCACATAAGCACACACAAACCCTGGACAGGTGGCAAGCCTAAGGTCTCGGCGTGGCAGACATGGGATCGCAGCACTTCAATGTCCCTCTGTGCAAATGCCAAATCCCTGCACACAGAAAATCAGCATGTCAGGGAGAAGGCTATAACTGTGCACGTTATATGCTCACGTTTATTCTGTGAACCGCCTTGAGAGCTGCGGGTATAGGGCGCTATATAAATTCAATTAATCATCATCATCACCCCTTGCAAGTGGAGAGGTGTCTTGGCTGTTCTGCAGGACTGAATGCTCCTCAACACAAACACACAAGTCTTTGGAAATTGAAAATCAGCAGGTCAGAGAGAAGACTAGGTAGGAATCCTTGTCTCTGACATGTTGATTTGGCAAAGTGTGGACCCCACGTCATAACAAAAAGGAGAATGGAGGAATCGTCGTTTTTTAGTACACAAACTTACTTGTATTCTCATGTAAGTAGGCTAAAAATGATTCAAATATGTCAAACAAGCTGTATTGTATGATCGTCTTCACTGCGCCCTAGGTACATCACCATTTAAGCTTGTTTCCCAAGTTTAAAATGCTTTCCACCCTCTACGGAGCATAGGAAAGAATCACTCACCAGCAGGGGCTGTGACCAGTTTGGTTGTCATGATGGTCCCATTACTGCTCACCACCATAATAGGGGAATTGCTACTGCTGGGCAAAGTTGCTGTGACTGGCTTGGGGAGGATTTTGCTGGGCTGCACTTGCTGGGTGATTATTTTGACCCCTAGGAAAGAAAAGAGGCATCACGAGTGGGAGGTGGACGTAAGAAGCAAACATTAAAAAGGAAGGCCAAATAGCTACAGAAAGACAGAACAAATCATTCCCCGCAACACAGGGGAGCCACATCACAAGAGCATTTACCGTATTTTTTGCACCATAACACTCACTTTTTTCCTCCTAGAAAGTAAGGGGAAATGTCTGTGCGTGTTATGGAGGGAATGCCTACGGGTGGCATGCCTACGGATTTTCCTCCTCTAAAAACTACGTGCGAGTTATGGTCGGGTGCATGTTATAGAGCGAAAAATACGGTAACTCGTGCAAATTCAACAGTATGTGCTTGGCTGAAACTCCATTCCAGATTAATTCTAGTCTTTTTCTTCTGCCTGCAGCTCTACCTGCCCCCTCCTTCTGCGTTCGTCTCTCCTCCTCTGTCACCCAGGAGGCCACTGCCTAGAACTGATCACCCCACTGCTGCTTCCTTGCCCCTCGGCCCTTCACTTGCCTGACCTGCCTCTTCCTCCTCTTCAGCAATGTCTAGGCAACACAATGACCATGTACATACACAATTGACAATCTTTATAGAATTCCTTCAAATCATAACAAGTACAAAATGAAATCTTTAGTCTCAAAGTCTCTGAATGATATGAAAATATCAAACGCTGTGGAACAGTGCTTATGTAATAATGTAGTCACTGCATTTTCATTGACATACATTCATTCGATATAAGATGGGTTTATGAAGCAATTCTATATCCTCCCACCACGCTGATGAAGAAGTCTATGAAACAGTAGTCAATATCCGGAATCAATGTTCAGTGTTGGACATCGTATTTGCTGAATACACAAAGTTTCACAGCTTGTCTTTCATCATACAAAGTTTGGTAAAGGTAAAGGTAAAGGGACCCCTGCTCATTAGGTCCAGTCGTGACCGACTCTGGGGTTGCGGCATTCATCTCGCTTTATTGGCCGAGGGAGCCGGCGTACAGCTTCCAGGTCGTGTGGCCAGCATGACTAAGCTGCTTCTGGCGAACCAGAGCAGCGCATGGAAACCAGAGCAGCGCACTTATCAACAAAGGTAAGTTTGATCAAACGAAGTGTCAGCGATGTTGCGCTCAAGGGTTAGATATCAGAGAGGAGAAGTTTGATCAAATGAATAAATGCATGTCAAGAAAGAACTGAGCATATGAAGTTGAATGTATGTAAATACACCAAAATCTTGAGGGAGAATTTCCTGAAGAAAGAAATTAAATATTGTAGCTTAATCTAAGAAGAAATGTAACATATGGACTTGAATGTTGATAAATATATCAAAACGTGAGAGAATTTATTGAAGCAGCCTGAGACTCTTCATGGGCGAAACAGGTGACAAATGCCGGCACCCTGTCTAACTCTTGTGCGTAACATCGCCGACACTTCGTTTGATCAAACTTACCTTTGTTGATATCTACAGAAGCCTGGCTAAAGGAACTTTAAAGACTTAATCTTCCTTTTGGACACAATTTGAATGAGTTTTCTGTTTGTGGCTTCTGTAGTAGATTTTGTACATAGCTCTCTCAATTTTTGGATTATTAATATGAGATTTAGAATGTAGAATGGTTTGGTAGTGTTTTGTGTGCCACTTTATACTGGTCTACTATGAGAATTAGCAGCATAGGTTCATTTCCTCAATCCCTGACATGGCGGCAGTGAGTTAACACCCGGAGCAACCCATTGATCGGTACCTGATTCCTGCTTGATCTGGATGGTAGGCTTGATGCCTGGCGGAAGGGGAGACTGCTGGGGGTGCAGGCCTGGCTGCTGCTGCTGGGAAGGCTGTTGCTGTTGTTGCTGCTGCTGGGCGGCCACGGGGGAAGCCTGGGTTAGCTGCTGCTGCGGCTGGGCTTGCTGAAGCTGCTGCTTGGGAGACGGCTGTTGTTGTTGCTGCTGCTGCTGCTGTTTAGGAAACGGTGTCAAGATCTGGGTCGGCGCCCCCACCAGGGTCTTGGGCGAAGGCAACCGGGCCGCTGCGACTTTAATGGCCGATGTGCAGACTCCTTGAAGAGAGGAGGCAGGCATACCCTGGGTTAGTCGCTTCAGGTTAAATCTTTTCAGGTTGCGTCCCGCGGCGACCCGGAAGTAACGGAACGGGTTACTTCTGGGTTTCGCCGCTCGCGCATACGCAGACGCTCAGAATGGCATCATGCGCATGCACGGCAAATTGCGACCCGCGCAGATGTGGGTTGCGTTCTGTTCATGATGCGAACAGGGCTCTGGAACGGATACCGTTCACATCCAGAGGTATCACTGTAGTAATAATAATAATAATAATAATAATAATAATAAATTTATACCCCACCCATCTAGCTGGGTTTCCCCAACCACTCTGGGAAGCTCCCAACAGAATTTTAAATACATAATAGAACAGCAGACATTAAAAACTTCCCTAAACAGGGCCACCTTCAGATGCCTTCTAAAAGTCAGACAGTTGTTTATTTCCTTGACATCTGATGGGTGTTCCACAGGGTGGGCACCACCACCAAGAAGGCCCTCTGCCTGGTTCCCTGTAACCTCACTTCTCACAATGTGGGAACCACCAGAAGGCCCTCGGAGCTGGACCTTAGTGTCCGGGCTGAATGATGAGAGTGGGGAGGCTCCTTCAGGTATACCGGGCCGAGGCTTCCCAAACTGCAGCCATTGAGTTTCACTCGTGTGGCCCGCGGCATGTCTGGGGGTTTGTGGCTGAAGACGTCCCACCCGTTGCATCCAGCACCCATTTATACAGGCAACCCCCAATTTGCAGGGGGATTGCATTCCAGGTTACAGCATGCGATGGTAGAGCATGCATAAGCCAATTTCCCCCCCTTTCCCGGCCACTTCCAGGTTGTAGCGATGTACATGGAGGCGGTCACATGTCGACTAGACGTATGCAAATCTGTCGTCGCCTTCACTTGCGTTTTCACCACTTCCTCTATATCTTATGTTGTTGTTGTTTTTAACGTATTGCAGGTTAGAATATGGAAGAAACAAAAGAAGTAATAAAAATGCGACTGGAAAGAATACAGCACCTAGCGTGGCACTTGACCGTTTCTGCAACAGCCAGAAGTTATGGGACATGCACAGAGTGGAAATGAAGCAGTGCGCTGCCCCAGGATTTTTGCAGCACTGAAAGTGGGGTTGTCTCTAACTGCCCCATTACCAACATTAGTAAGTACAGTGGTACCTCGGGTTACATACGCCTCAGGTTACATATGCCTCAGGTTACATACGCTTCAGGTTACAGACTCCGCTAACCCAGAAATAGTACCTCAGGTTAAGAACTTTGCTTCAGGATGAGAACAGAAATTGTGCTCCAGCAGCGCGGCGGCAGCAGGAGGCCCCATTAGCTAAAGTGGTGCTTCAGGTTAAGAACAGTTTCAGGTTAAGAGCGGACCTCCGGAACCAATTAAGTACTTAACCTGAGGTACCACTGTACAACTCATCATTACCCTGTTTCCCCGAAAATACGACAGTGTCTTATATTAATTTTTGCTCCCAAAGATGCGCTAGGTCTTATTTTCAGGGGATGTCTTATTTTTCCATGAAGAAGAATACGGTACACATTTATTGTCTAATTGTGAGTCAGCCAGACTCCGCCAGGGCAGAGCAAGCAGCAGGCGACAGCTTGTCCTGGCAGCGGCAGCGGCTCTCTGATTTAAAGAGACCTCGCACTGCCTGAACAGCTCTGGCTGCACTGTGGCCAATCAGTGAGCTGCGTGGCGGCGCCCACCGCTAGGGTCCAGAGGAGTCAGACGCCTTGAGGTGGTTTCGGGGGCCTTATATTCCGGGGAGGCCTTATGTTCGGGGAAGGCCTTATACAGTGGTGCCTCGCAGGACGAAAAGAATCCGTTCCGCGAGTCTCTTCGTCTTGCGGGTTTTTTCGTCTTGCGAAGCAAGCCCATTAGCGGTTTAGCGGATTAGCACTACAGTATTAGCGGCTTAGCGGATCAGCTGATAAGCGGCTTAGCGATCAGCTGATAAGCGGCTTAGCCGATTAGCTGATAAGCGGTTTAGCGGCTTGGGGAAAAGGGGGGGGGAAGGGAAAAAACCCCGCAGGAACTCGCAAGACATTTTCGTCTTGCGAAGCAAGCCCATAAGAAATTCGTTTTGCGAAGCACCTCCAAAACGGAAAACCCTTTCGTCTAGCGGGTTTCCCGTCTTGCGAGGCATTCGTATTGCGGGGCACCACTGTATTACAGCGAGAGGCAAAACTGGAAGTAGGTCTTATTTTCGGGGGATGTCTTACCATATTTTTCGCTCTATAGGATGCACTTTTTCCCCTCCAAAAATTAAGGCTCCTTGGCTTCAGTGATAGCAACGCGAAGCCTCCAAAGCGCAGAGGGAGCGCTCCCTCCGCGCTCCGGAGGCTATGCGTTGCTTTCGCTGAAGCCTGGAGAGTGAGAGGGGTCGGTGAGCACCTCTCTCGCTCTCCAGGCTTCAGGGATAGCCGTCTGAAGCCTTTGGAGCACAGTGCGAGGTCTCGCTGCGCTCCAAAGGCTTCAGGCGGCTATCCCTGAAGCCTCTGGAGCGCAGCAGGAACTCGCGCTGCGCTCCAAAGGCTTCACAACTTTGCCGCTGCTCCCAGACCTGTTCTGGGGGCTGGGGTTGGGGGAAGCTCGGGCTTCCCCTGCCCCAGCTAAAAACGAAGCCAAGACTTGGCTTCTGCCAAAGCCACGTGCAGCCTCTCCCGGCTGGAAAGGTTGCGTGCGACTAAAGAGGAAGCCAAGACAGCCAGCGGGATGGATCCCGCACGCTGTCTTGGCTTCTTTGCTCTTTGGGGCTGGGAGGGGGAAATAATATTTTTTTTCTTGATTCCCCCCCCCAAAAAAGAACTAGGTGCGCCCTATGGTCCGGTGTGCCTTATGGAGTGAAAAATACGGTACTTTCGGGGAAAGACGGTAAGTGCAGCACACATAGGAAGCCTGGAAGACCCTAATGAGATGTAGCACGCAGTTTTCAGCTGCACCTGTCTTTTCACCCGAGGCAGTGGGGGTCGCAATCTCAGAACCTTCCCCATGCAATGCCAACGTCTCACCCTGTGCAACTGTGGACATAACCACGGAGGGCGTCGAGGAGACCACGGTGGTCACAGCGACCGTGCTGGGAGCGGAGGAAAGGGTGGAGCAGCCCCCGGTGGAGGCGCTGGTAGAGGTGCTGGTGGAGCTGCTAACCAAAGAGGACTGGGAAGCGGTGATGACCACCGGCTGCTTCTGGGTGGTGGAGGCAATGACCGACGTCGGGACGAGCTTGGTGACGGCCGCGTAGTTGTGAGACTTGGAGAGGATGTTGGGGACAAAGGTGGAGCTGGGAGACGTGGTGACTATGATCACCTGGAAAAGAGAGCACACAAAAAGGTTTCAATCATCGCCCCTTGTGCCGACAGCCCCTCGCTGCTCCCCAAAGGAGCATTTGTCCATTCAGAGTAAGGGTAACGCTGCCATCGCTCTTAACTGGCTCTGTGACAATAAATCGTGTAGCCCAAACTGACTGGTTATCATTGCATTCGCTATCGATATGCGATTGAATGACAACCTCCAAAACGTGGATGAGGCTTGAGGTTCACTAAAACTTACTTACAGCCTGCCATTTCTCTTGGGAGCAGCGCTTGAGGTTGCACCCGCAGACAAGGCTATCTCATTTCCCTGCACAGCCACCCTAGGAGACAGGCTGTTAGGGGAGTTGGCGGCCTGTGACTCTGCCCCATTTCTGGGACCAATCGTGTGCTGGTCCACAGGCAGCACTATCTTTTGAAATGTGGTGGATGGGGTTTTACTGAAGTGGAGAAGACATCAGCACATAACAGAGGAATTCCGGGAGAAAAAACGACAGACAATTAAACAGAACTGGTGTTGCAGGGTGGTGTCAATAGCAGTTTCCAGTCTGTAGACTGGGACTGGGCTTAGCCTCTACCCCGGTTTTGGGGTGAAACAGCCTCCCCACATTTGTGAGCGTACTGCAATGTGAGTGGCAAACTTACTGGAGCTCCTCACACTTCTGATTGGCTGGCCCCCGCTATTCTTTCCCAGACTGGGAAAGCCAAAATGGCAACAGCAGGTAGCTCTGAAGGGTCACCTGCCAGAAATATATGCTCCTCAATTTCACAGTGGCTGGGATTGCACAGGGACTGTAGACCAGGCACCCCCAAACTCAGCCCTACAGATCTTTTGGGACTACAGTTCCCATCATCCCTGACCACTGGTCCTGTTAGCTAGGAATCATTGGAGTTGGAATCTCAAAACATCTGGAGGGCCTAGTTGTTGTTTTATTGGAAATTTCAACACAATGGTTTTATCAAAAATACATCATCCACATGATTATTTCCCTCCATTTCCCCCCCACCCCCCTCAACAAAAAAAACCCAACCTCCCACCACACCCCCAGACTTCCCTCAGCTCCTTTCTCTGGTTTCTCAACACATATTTCTAGCTGCATGTTATAAAATTGTAAAGATCCTCAAGTTGTCTATCTATATATTACAATAAACAGTTTGTGAATGTTTATTGGAGAGCCGAGTTTGGGGGTGCCTGCTGTAGGCTAAGGAAACCTCTCGTTCTCAGCCGCACATACCGAACATCCCTACCCACCTTCTGGGTTGTGGTGTTGGTCGTCTGTGTCGACGGCTTCGTGAAGGTGATCTTCACAGGGGACATGTGGGGCGGCAAGGAGTTGGCTATGCTCTGCATGATGCTGCTCATCTTGGGGCTGCCGCTGACAGGCACCGTGATGGTCTTGGTGACCGGCGTGGCGGCCTTGGGGACCTCCTTCAGGAGGACTGGGGAGGAGCTAGAGGAGTTGGTGCGGCGCCGTTTGCGGGGCTTCTCGTCGTCATCTGAGCAGCTCACGCCTGCCAACGAGATAGACGCCTCAGTCCGGTAGCCTCCCCTGCACTGATGCACCCAGAGCACTGCTCAAACCTCCCCAGCCCAAGCTCGCCCACATGCCAAGACACAACCTGCTGACCACTGACCTCATCAACTGCTATTCTCTAGGGGGGAGGTGAGCTCTTAATATGTCACTATATTTGCATTTCAAGTTCGATTTGGTAAATCTCCCCTGGAAAGGCTAATGTTTGATGCAACCGGTCTGGGAAAATTAATGAGCAGACGCCTAGAATTGTTTCATCGGAACTGAGAGAAAATGGCGGCTGCCAGCAGCGAAAAGACTTTTGGATGGATTCGGCAGAAATGCCAACAGTGTGAGGAGATGTTGCATGGACAGAGGGGTATCATACAATTAAATCCACACAGAAACGTATCATTTTACTTCAGCTCGCTTGTGGAAACAACTCAGAGGCAGTGAAAGAAGGAAAACGACAGGAAGAATTAAAGGAACAATAAGAAATGACTATTAAAAACAGCAGAGATATGAGATGATCAGAGCCCCCCCGAACTCAAAGCAAGGGAAGCCCAAGCAAAAAAATTATAATTCAGCAGAATATTTGGATTATTTGAAATGTATATGTATAATTTGGAATATTTAATGTGATTTGATTGTTAAAATGGAAAACTCAACAATTTTTTTTTAAACTGCTACTCTCTAGGTGCTGTGGGGCCCTGGACTTTGGCTGCAAGAGACCAGGAGACTGACCAATGCTTACCAATCAGCATCTCTGAATTTACCCATTTACACAGCTCAAACTGCTGGCTGTTTCAAACACATTCTTACATTCATCCATTCATTTTTGCCAAGCCCAAAGGGCGGCTACCAAGGCTTGCGGGACATTGTGAGCAGTGGTGGGGAAGGCCTGGCATATGGCGTTCAAAATCAAAGACCCGTCAGGCCATGCTCGAGACCTCGGCTGCCTCTGGAGGAGCCTGGCCCTCCTTTTCCTTGGTGTCACTTACTCTTGACGTAAACGGCGCTCCCACTTGGCAAGACGACGACGTTGGAAGCCGGGCTGGCGGGTCTGGGGGATTTCACGGTCGCGACGCTGCCGCTCGGGACTGGGGTGGACGTCGGGGTTGAGGTGGTGCTTGTGTAGGAATAGCAAACCACCACTGAAGAGAGCGAGAGAGAAGAATAGGATGATGCATAAACCGAAGCATTTTCATCTGTCTACTTCATTCATCTCCAGCCTACACTCCAAGGGACGAGAGGTGGCATACACACTCTGCCTCCACAATAACCCTGTGAGGTATGTTTAGGCTGAGAGGCAGTGACTGGCTCAAGGATACTGCCACCCATCAGACATGTTGTGGAAGAAGCAAACGATAAAGGGCCTGAGATGATGATCGCAGGGTCCAGGTTGGATCATATGGGGTGAGGCAGCCCGGAGCCGTTTAAGGCAATACAGGTCAAAACTACCACTTCAAATTGGGCCCGGAAACTAATTGGCAGCCAGTGCAGTTGGGTCGAGGTTGGGGCCTTCCATACAAGTGGTAAGAGGGGCCCTGATATAGGTGGCAAAGGTTTAAGGAGCGAGAGTCCAGCTCCCATCAGCCCCACGGGAGGCAGTGATGGTTACGATGGGTTAAAGGAGGATTAGACAAACAAACAAACAAATAATAATAATAATTTATTTATACCCCGCACATCTGGCTGGGTTTCCCCGCCACTCTGGGTGGCTTCCAACTGAATATTAAAAACAATACAGCATCAAAGATTAAAAACTTCCCTAAACAGGGCCGCCTTCAGTTGTCTTTTAAAAGTAAAATAGTTGTTTATTGCCTTGACATCTGTTGGGAGGGCGTTCCACAGGGCAGGCACCACTACCAAGAAGGCCCTCTGCCTGGTTCCCTGTAACCTCACCTCTCACAGTGAGGGAACCACCAGAAGGCCCCAGGTGCTGGACCTCAGTGTCCGGGCTGGATGATGGGGTGGAGATGCTCCTTCAGGTCTACTGGGACAAGGCCATTTAGGGCTTTCAAGGTCAGCCCCAACACTTTGAATTGTGCTCGGAAACGTACTGGAAGATCTTTCAGAACCGGTGTTATATGGTCTGGGGGCCACTCCCAGTCACCAGTCTAGCTGCCGCATTCTGGATTAATTGCAGTTTCCGAGTCACCTTCAAAGGTAGCCCCACGGAGAGCATGTTGCAGTAGTCCAAGCGGGAGATAACTAGAGCATGCACCACTCTGGCGAGACAAATTTCTGGAGGAGAGGGCTATTGGTGGCTGCTGGCCATGAGGGCTCTGCCCTGCCTCCACAGCTGGAGGCAGCAAAGCTTCTGAATGCCCAGTTGCTGGAAACTTGTGGATTTCCCACAGGCATTTGTGAGAACAGGAAAACAAACGAGATGGGCCATCAGTTTGACCCAGCAGGCTTCTCTGATGTTCTCAGAGGCCATCATCAGGGTTGCTGGGACCTGTATCCCAGCAACAGCTTGAGGAAGAGAGGTTCCCCATCCCCGGTTGAAGGCCTAAGCATGGTGTCCCTTTCGAAGCATTAAGAGCATCCTTCTCCCATTCCCAATATCCGAAAGAGAGAAAGGCCACCTACCCTCACCTTCTTTGCTTCCTGTCTCTGCTGGGGAAGGGAGAGCTGCGTTGTGCTGGAGCGCCGCGTTGGCAACAGCGTTTGCCGTGACGGTGAAAGCAGTTTGGGGAACCAGCCGGGGCATCAGAGGGACGAGGCGGCGGCCTTCAATCGACCACTCAGAAGAACTGTTGGGCCCAGACATACTAAGGAGAAACACGCAGGTCTGTAAACTGTCCGTTCCAAGTCATTCTCCCATTGCTAAATAGGTCTTTCAAACCAGAAAATCTCTCTCCAGACAGGTATCGTGAACCTCCCCGAATCTACCGCCAGGTGGGGTGGACTGTAAATTCACCCAGAAATGGAAAACATTTAGCTACTGGGTAGAGCACACACTTTGTTGACAGTCCCAGATCCTAGAACCTTCTGCTCAAAATTGATCTCCATCATAGCTGTCAATGTTTTCCCTTTTTTAAGGGAAATTCCCTTATTCCGAATAAGATTCCTTGCAAGGAAAGGGAAATGTTGACAGCTATGATCTCCATTAGCACGGCGTCTGACCGAAACCTTGGTGAGAGGTCAAAGTATAATTTACTGGGTGAAAGAGACCAATGGGCTTATTCAGAATATGGTCATTTCATGGGATGGGAAGGGTCCATAGCTCAGATGCAGGGCACCTGTTTTGCATGTGGAAGGTCCTTCGGTTTTCCAGTTAAAAGGGTCAGGTCACAGGTGCTGAGCGCTTTATTTTATTTTTGAGATATTCCGAGAGGGAATTGATCAAGTCCAAATGTCCTGGGTCCTAGTCCAAGTACTTCAGCGAATACACCATAGTTTAAAAGTGCACTGTTTAGCGGATTGCAAGTGTCAATTACCACGGGGCAAAATACACTGAAAAGAGACATCTAGAGATGTCCCTTTTTATTAATTGAGAGTAGGTTTGAAAGAACCAGAAGCAGTGTTCTTGCAGAAAAACTGGCCCATTGGAGTTAACCAGAGGTAGAGCCAAACAATGGTAATGCTAAGGACAGTTCTCAATCATTTCTCCTCTAAAAAAGTCACCGTCTATCACTCAAACCTCATTCTGGAAGGACATAGCTGTATGTATTTAGCTTATGCTCTCACCCCTCCTAAAACCTGCTCCCAAGGTTCAGTTGGCTTTTACCAGGGGCAAAGCCTTTAGTATGGCAAGTGCTGGGTCTGCGAAACTCCTTGCCACTAGAAGTTCAGCAGGAACCATCCTTGCTCATTTTCAGACACCTTCTTAAAACTGTGTTATTCAGATGGGCCTTTCGAACCGAAGATTCCTTGTCAACCAGCTCTCACAGGTGTGCCTGCTTTTTTTATTGTAATACTGTTACACCTTGTGATATTTTATATGAAAACGTGGCTTATAAAAACAAACCAACAAAGCAATGGCGTAGCAACTCATTCTTTCCAAATCCTAAATATGCAGTGTTATTTTTGTGATATTACCCGTTCATGCACGGCTGCAGGTTTAACTTCTGGAAACCAAAGGTGGTATTCTATTTGTTCATTTCAGGCATTTGTATATGACTTGTTTGCGTTTCTTAATTTTAAAAAAATTCCTTACTTGTGAGCAATCGTCGTCAATCGCTCATCATTGACCGCCCTTCGAACTTCAGCTCGATGCCTTTCTGTTGAAATGCTGTTGAAAGACACCGAAGTGTTAGACACAGAGGTACAGGCCAGAAGCAAGACAAGGCTTTGAAGGCCTTAAAAATCAAAGTGAAATGGATAGCTGTCAAAAGCAATGCTATGATGGGACTTACCGTATTTTTTGCTCTATAAGACTCACCTTTTCCCTCCTAAAAAGTAAGGGGAAATATGTGTGCATCTTATGGAGCGAATGCAGGCTGCGCAGCTATCCCAGAAGCCAGAACAGCAAGAGGGATCGCTGCTTTCACTGCGCAGCGATCCCTCTTGCTGTTCTGGCTTCTGAGATTCAGAATATTTTTTTTCTTGTTTTCCTCCTCCAAAAACTAGGTACGTCTTGTGGTCTGGTGCGTCTTATAGAGCGAAATATACGGTAATTAGCCCTGCCAGCAGAGACTGGTTCACCTGCCCAGACTTCAATGCGATATATATCGTCCCCCAATGCCCTTCTGTTTCGTCAAACAAACAAGCTTGTCTCTGCACAAAAATAACAAGCGGAACAAACCTAACATTCAATAGCCCAGAGCACTCTGTGGCCAACTTGGAAGTCATCCTTCTGCAGCAAAAGAGCTTCCCTGAGATTGCTCAACTGGAGTTCTGAAAATACATTTCAGTCTATGCATTTTGTGGACCTTTATCGAGACCAAGTTTTTATTCCCCATCTAGTCTTCTTGAGTACCATGTGGTCCCTTTCTCCTCAAATGGACTTCTGCAAGTTTCCATCGCCATCAACAACCAGCCATTGCCTTTGGGACGCATCAACAGCCGGACAGTGGATTGTATCCAACACAGTGCAAAATATCGCATTCCGTCAATGTAAAGATTTCTGCTTGCACCCCCAAATCTGTTCTGGGGTTTCCGCCATCCCTCTGGAGCAGATATGGAAAGAGCACAGGGTGCACATGGGGAATGGAGGGCGAGAAATTATCACTGCAGAAGCATAAATCCTTGCACTGACGGAACCACTGGATACTGCTGACTGCGTTTGGGAAATAAATAGACACCATGGTTTGCCAAGGATTCACCATCCTTAACGGACACTGTCTTCCTTTATATTGTAACTGATGGTCATGTTTAATTTTCTCAAGGTCAGCAACAAAGACAGTACCTGCTGGGAGCAGACAGCTTCACTTAACATCTTCTAAAAAGTGTTTTGCCCTGAATTGGCTTTGTGCTGCACTGGCTGCTGTTTTTGTTTTTTCCTGTGGTGTGTTATTTTATGATGATATTTTAATTGACCATTGTGCATGCCACGCTATATATTACTTAAAGGGGAGGTTCTAAATTTAATAAAGAGAAGCTTTCATATGGCATCTGCCAAAGTCAGGCACTGTATCAATAAATAGGAAAGAAAGGAAAAGCAGGGCCTTTTTGGTGATGGCGCTTGTTCTGCGGAACTCTCTGCTACTTCCTATTGAAAAGAACAGCAATCCAGAGCAAACTAAGCTATTCTGCCATTCCGTTGGCTGTTAGATATATGTGCTTATTTTTTGGTGCTGTTCGTTGCAGCTTTTAAACTTGAATGAATTAATGGGCTGCAAGATTTAAGGTTTGTAGTGCTTTGCTGTATTGCAAGCCACTCCTTGTGGGGCTGAATGGGCAGGGTACAAATGAGTACGTTCCATCTACCTAAGCACTTTGGAGAGTTCTCCAAGGATGTCTTTCTTTTCCTTTGTGAGATCCCCCTGAGCGCGCAAGGCACTGATGACACCGGCATATGCCTCCAATTCTATAAAAGAAAGGAAAAAGATTAAAAGTGAACAATACATGGGAGGGGTAAAGAGAGATCAATAAAAAGATCACAGAACCATAGAGTTGTAAGGAACCTCAAAAGCCTTCTAGTCTAACCACGTGCGGAAAAATCTGCCTCTGCAACATCAGTGGGGAGCCTATGGCCCACAAGGTGTTACCAGCCTATGATTACCATTGCCTCTAACCACTGGTCATGCTGGCCGGGGATGAAGGAGTCCCCCAACATCTGCAGGGCCATAGGTTCACTACCCGTGATCTCCGGCATCCCTGATAAGTGGCTGTCCAGCTTGTGATTGGAAACCTTTAATGAAGGGAAAATACAGTAGTGGGGAAATTTTCACCACATGCTTACTGTCACTAACACAACATAATAACCAAAAAGGGGACAACAACCCTCAAAGCTTTGCTGATTAACATAGTGTCAGCTAGCACAGGGGAAAGTCCCTGATGAGTAATGATACAGAGACTTACTACTGACATTGATTAAGATGAAACACATTTTTGGGGGTCCTCTAGCATTACCCTAGGTTCCCTCATTCATACAACAACAGCCAAGGCGACATTTTTCCACCTTCTCCGCATCAAGCAGTTGGTCCCTTACCTTTCCCACCCCAACCTGGCCACAGTGATCCATGCGACAGTCACCTCCAGGCTTGGCTACTGTAATTCGCTCTACGCGGGGCTGCCCTTGAAGCTGTCCCAGAAACTCCAGCGGGTGCAGAATGCTGCAGCGAGGCTCCTCACGGGGTCTCTGCCATGGGAGCATATTCACCCAGTGCTTTTCCAGCTGCACTGGCTCCCAGTGGAGTACAGGGTCAGGCTCAAGGTGCTTGTTTTGACCTTTAAAGCCCTTCACGGCCTAGGACCCTCGTACCTACGGGACCGCCTCTCCTGGTATGCTCCACGGAGGACCTTAAGGTTCATAAATAGCAACACCTTAGAGGTCCCGGGCCCTAAGGAAGTCATATTAGCCTCAACCAGAGCCAGGGCCTTTTCAACACTTGCTCCGGCCTGGTAGAACGCTCTGTCTCATGAGACCAGGGCCCTGCTGGATCTGATTTCTTTCCGCAGGGCCTGTAGGACAGAGTTGTTCCACCCGGCCTTTGGCTTAGAATCAGTTTGATTCCCTCCCCCTCTTTCTTTTTCCTTTCTCCTCCTTGTGAAGAGGCTGCATCCTAAAGTTTTAATGTTGTATTTTAATCTTTTTCAAATTGTATTTTAATCAACTTGTTTTTATTATTGGTTGTTAGCCGCCCTGAGCCTGGTCTTGGCTGGGGAGGGCAGGGTATAAATAAAAAATTATTATTATTATTATTATTCCTACAGTCCATCATGGGGACCCAGATCTCATTCAGTCATGTGTAGCCAGTGTCAAGTCAGTGTAAAGAAGACGACCCACCCGCTCCCCCAGCAAAGAACTCCGTAGGCATACCGAGTTTGCGAAGGATCCTTTTGCATTCATCCCTGCTGAGATCCAGCAGGGTCGGCCACACCACAGGCATTGTTTCCCGGTCGGTTTGCTCCCACGGAGCTCAGCCTCCCTGCAAATGGACACAAATCAAGGGAAGAGAAAAGCAGGCTGACGTTGCAGATTCCAAACGCTAACCCACCAGAGCAATACCAGGCGCCTGTGCCACTTGGAGGGGGGACCAAAGTTGGAAGAATTTAACGGCGGTTAACAAAGACCCTGGTGTACAAAGGTAAAGAGTCTCTCTGCCTCGCTTTCTCCAAGGGCATGTTGGGAGCAGAAGGAAGTGGGTGCAGAAATCTGGTCTGTGTAGACTCTTTGGAACTGTGGAACCACCTCAAAAGGGGTATGTTCCATAAAATCATGAGTTAGAGAACACAGGAAGTTGGCCTTATACTGGGACAGACCATTGGTCTGCCTAGCTCAGTTACCAATACAGTGGTACCTTGGGTTAAATACTTAATTCATTTTGGAGGTCCGTTCTTAACCTGAAACTGTTCTTAACCTGAAGCACCACTTTAGCTAATGGGGCCTCCTGCTGCCGCCGGATCATGATTTCTGTTCTCATCCTGAAGCAAAGTTCTTAACCCGAGGTAATATTTCTGGGTTAGCGGAGTCTGTAACCTGAAGCGTATGTAACGAGGTATGTAACCTGAAGCGTATGTAACCTGAGGTACCACTGTACATGGACAACTGTGGGCAGATTCTCTCTATCCAGGAATGGGCACAGACATAACATAAGTCACTTTCATTATGCTCCAAACTGCAGATAGGAAGACAGAGGCAGAGACGCAGAGAGGCAGAGACAGAGAGAAACTGGCTTGACTAAGGCCACCATGTGAATTCATGATAGAGGCAAGATCTGAACTGGGACTTCATCATTCATGGCTCAGTCTATGAGCCTCTATGCTACACCTGGTCACAAGCCAGGAAGGGGACTGAGGCACATGAGAGGAGGAAAGCAAGTCAAAAACTCAGAGCACAAATGGCTGCTACACCCACAAACCAAAATTGTGATCCATCCTTTGTACTGAGATTTATCCGTTTGTGCCGTTTAAATGCTGTGCCTTCAACCTATGTTTATTTTCCCAAGGCAGCTAGCAGAGCAGTAAAAAGAAGCATACTGTTTAAAATAAATGAATATTAAGAATTAAAAATTAATGCAGCAAATAAAAACAAACTAAACAAAAAATAATGGAGCAGGAGGGCGGGATCGTTTGTCTCTTTACTTTAGAGCTTTTCATTGGGTTGGTTATATTATATATTAGATTGTAAAGCCGAATGGCAAATCAGTGGGCCTCAAACTTCCATCAGCGCCAGATCAGGAGGTGGTGATGATGGCAGCTGCAGTCCTGCTTTGTTGTGCAGGGTCACGCGTCCCTAATTTTCTTTCCTTTAATTCCCACAGACACTTCATGTAGAAAATATATCTACAAATGCTTCTTGTTCATGTACCATCATCATGCTTATTTCTGCTCAATCGGAGGCGGGAGGTCAGAGGGGTCAGATTGGAGCAGGAACAGCCGGTGCATTCGTTTATCAGAAGTGAAAAACTGGGCTGCTCTGAAACACCAAAAGACTCAATTCTAAACCAATTAAGAAATCAAACCCCCAAACAATCAATTATTTACAGCCAACAATGTTAAGCAAATAAAACACTGGTGCAAATGAGATGCAGGAGATTTAACAGGCCTTGCCTGCCTTTTATCTCAAAACTCAGGGGGTGGAGGGGGGAGAGAACTAGGGAGTTATAATATTTCTTAAGAGCAAATTAAAGGCATATATAACACGGAGAGAGAAAATGGAGGTGATGAGACTATTGCTGTTTTTGAAATGGTGCTCCAATGGTGCTTTAGGTTGGGTCAACCTAAAAGACCTGTTTTACATGGCACCAGACTCCCAAAGTGTTGGGGAAGCAAGGAGACCCATCTCATGTCCGCTCATCTTACTTGGACCCCCGAGACGGCAAAAGAAAAAGAAAAAAAAAAACCCCTCACAAAACTAGCCACTGGAATGCAGGAAGGAAATGCCAGCAACAGGACCGATGCTGAATGGTAAGAGCTGGAAAGGTCATCTAAGGCCATCTGGCCCAAAGCCCTGGCTCACGGCAGAAGTCTGCAACTGCGGCATCCCTGGCAGATTGTCATCAACCTTCTGTCTGGTTCAAAACTGCAAGTGAAAAAGAGCCCATCGCCTCCTGAAGATGACCGTTCCACAGCTGAATAGTTCATACCATTAGCAGGTTCCCCCTAATGCTTAGCCAAAATCAGATTCCCTGCTATCTTCCTCCCATTTGGTCTGGTCTGGAGTAACAAGTTTGCTCCACCCTCTGGTCCTCCAGGTAAGGACCTCTTGACCAGATCTCCCCTTAAACTTTTGTTCTCCAGATGAAAACCATGCCCAGCTCTTTCAACCGCTCCCCCTAGGACTTTGGCTTCCAGATACAGCAGCATCCTAGTCTCCCCTTCTGGACACGCTCCCTCCTAACACGACTCTGTCTGCAGGACACACAACCACATCAGGACTGTTGCCCTACAAAACTCTGAGGAAAGCCAGTGCCAAGTGTCTCATGGCAGGGAAGGATTTGTTCATTAATTTTATTAAGACAGCAGACTCGAGGCAGCACACGAGATATAAAAATAGAATGCATCAATAGAGGCGAAATACAATACAATAGTAAAACAGCTGAAAATCGGGCAGTGGGGCGCCCAGATGACAGGGCACCCCTCTCAGCCTCGCTGATGTGGTCCAAAGGAAAGGCAAGCCATTCGTTAGGCACCAGTTAGGCACCAGTTTGGCAGCAGGGGTTGCCAGAAGGAAGAGTACAAGTACCATCCAACCATCCTAGGGACTCCACTCCTGATTCGTGTAGGGTTTTTACTCCTTAGCCTTTTCTTCTCCTGAAGATATCCCACAAGACAGAAGAGGTTTAGGATCAGAGTTTTCCTTCCTTCTCCAAGATGGGCTCCCTTCCCAGGAAGACAAGCCCCATCTGCCCCTCACTTTCCTCTACAGCAGGGGTTGTCAACCTGGTCCCTACCGCCCACTAGTGGGCAATTCAGGATTCTAGGTGGGCGGTAGGGGGTTCTATGGCACAAGCTGAATCCTCCTTCCATCGAGCACTGGTGGGCGTAAAGGGAATTGAATTTTATTATTTTGGTCACAGACCAGTTCCAGCCCACATACAATATCCAGGAAGTCATAAAACACGATAGGGGTACATTTGAATATGCAATTAGGTGTAACAGGGACACTACAAATATAGCAACAGTTAAAAAATACATAAATTAAAACTTAGTCACTAACATATAACCTAAAATTATCATTTAAGGGCTTAATCATTATGATAGCACAGCTTGTTCTCTAAGTTTTATGGCAATCGCACAGAATTTGGCTACCCTTAACGTGATCTCAGGAGCCTTGTCCTCTACCACGGATTTTAGACATTGAAGTTCAGATTCATTTGGAGATTTCTGCATAGCAGAGGTAATAAATACTGAGCGTATATCCCCGTAGAAACAGCAGCGTAACAAGGCATGAAAGACAGTTTCTACCTTCACCAAGCCGCAGGGGCAGACTCGTTCCGCGTATGGTTTACCCTCGAATCTGCCCTGCAGTAAGGCAGATGGCAGCACGTTGAATCTAGCAAGGGTAAATGACCGTCTGTATTTAGGTATTTGTAATTTTGACAAATAATTTGCTGGGGTAAGCAAAGAAGACAAGCCCCCATCTGCCCCTCACTTCCCTCTACAGAAGGGGTTGTCCACCTGGTCCCTACTGCCCACTAATGGGCGATTCCGGATTCTAGGTGGGCGGTAGGGGATTCTATGGCACAAGCTGAATCCTACTTCCATTGAGCACTGGTGAGCGGAAAGGAAATTTTACCATCAAGACAGATGCATTAGTGGGTGGTAGGTTGACTACCCCTGCTCTACAGCACATGCAGAAACTGCCTTCTTGACAACTGGACCCACTACTGGCCTCGTCCACTCTATCCGCCAGAGCCTGTCTTCACATGCAGGGGAAGTCCCCAACATACCGAGGGTTTGACACCCATCAGCTACCCTCACTTGGTTTAGCTGGTCAGTCAAATCTATTTACCATGGTGTGGCCGATGTCACATGCTAACAGCTTCTAAACGGCCTCGGTCCTGTATACCTGAAGGAGCGTCTCTACCCCCATCATCCAGCCCGGACACTGAGGTCCAGCGCCGAGGGCCTTCTGGCGGTTCCCTCATTGCAAGAAGCCAAGTTGCAGGGAACCAGGCAGAGGGCCTTCTTGGTAGTGACGCCTGCCCTGTGGAACACCCTCCCAGCAGATGTCAAGGCAATAAATAACTATTTTACTTTTAAAAAACAACTGAAGGAGGCCCTGTTTAGGGAAGTTTTTAATGTCTGATGCTGTATTGTTTTTAATATTCAGTTGGAAGCTGCCCAGAGTGGCTGGGGAAACCCAGCCAGATGGGTGGGGTATAAATAATAAATTATTATTATTATTATTATTATTATTATTATTATTATTACTCTAAGAGCCACAGGTAGAGGCTGAGTGCAGGGTGGGGATCAAAGGTGGACGAGGTACCCCTGAGAAGCACAACATGTCCCCCACCAGAGATACTCCCCCTCCCCTGAAACCCCATACACCCTACCTTTTGATACTAACATAGTACAATCACAGTCCTCGTTAAGCCACTGCAAACCTGGCTGGGGCCCTCCACCACAAAGCAATGAATTAATGGCTAGTTCGGCCTTAATAGCCCCCCTGGAGCTATCTAAACAGCATATCCACACCCACACACTGGCAGCAAGGCCCTCAGGTCACGGATAAACGTTCTGGATTTGGCAGCGCAAAAACAGTTACCACCACGAAAGCAGGTGACGCCAAACTGGTTTGTCAACCGATCTAAGGATTTTGATTTTAAAACAGATCAGCTACATCTTAACTAGTCGAGCAATTAAACTTGAATACATTTGCCTGTTATCCAAACCTTCTTTATGACACGTGGAAGGAAGAGATGACTTAATGAACAAGACGCTACTTGTGCAGAGAAGAAAAGGTCAGCTTTCGTATTTGCCGTTTCTTCTTCCCGTTGTTTTTTTTTTTTTAAATAATAAACCACAGCCAAAGCGAGTGTCAAAAATTACCGTATTTTTCCATGTATAAGACACCCCCATGTATAAGACTCCAATTTAGGGACTCCAATTTAAGAAAATAGGGGGGAGATTGCCCCGTGCATAAGACGACCCAGAGTTTTTCACATAATTTTAAAGTAAAAAAACCTGGTCTTATAGATGGAAAAGGACAGTAATTGTGTGCCCTTAATTCCAAGCCTCACAGATTCAAGTTTAACCTCTCTGTATACCAATTAGTTAACTAACAGTGCAATTCTGTGCATATCAAACATTAAGCCCATCTGAGTTCAACGGGACTTACTCTCTGGTAAGTGTGGTCGGGATTGCAGCCTAATTAATACTTTTAATTGAAGGATCTCAGAAGAGTTTGCCACTCTTCCCCGCCCCTAATTTATACACGTTCTATTCTGGACAGAACCAGAAAACAAAACAAAAAAACTCTGATGAGAAGAGGAAGAGGAACACACAAACTGTACATGCAGACTTAGGGCAAGGACAGGAAATGTGCCATCTGATTGATGTTGCTGAACTACAACTTCCATCAGGCCCTGCCTGGAAGGTCAAGGGTCAGGAAAGATGGAAGCTGCAAGCCAATAACATCTGGAGGATCACAAGTTTTCCATCTCTGGCCTGGTGGGTCCATCATGCTATGTAGGAATTGGCCGCTGGGGCATTAAAACTTGATGGCCATAAAAACTGACGCCCCAGATGGAAAATGAATCACTGATTTTGTGTGTGCATGCTGCTGATTCTTGCAGAACCAGATCCTATTTTACTCAAGAGTCAAATCAACCAAGAGCAACACAACTTCCTCACAAGTTGGCAAACTCAGGGCTGCAGGCTTGGTGAGGAAAAGGGTTCAAAATGGGCTGCCACACTGAGAATGAAGCTGTCAAAGCGGGAAAGAGAAGGCTGAAGGGGCATATTTCATTCTCGCCTGCAACAACAGACTATCCACTACTATTTGCAATGGTGGACAATGAGGATTAAGGGGAGGAGGAAAGGGGCCAACAAAAGCAGACCCCAGAGAAGGCAGGCCGGAAAAGGGGGCAGGGAGGAGGGGGTGCCACAGAGGAATCTCTGGTGGGAAAGAAAGAAATGGGTCCACTTGGCAAGCACCCCTTGGAGGAAAGGAAAGAGAATCAGAGGCAGAAACAGAAAAAGCAGCTAAGCAAATCAATCAAACGGCGGGCAAGGAGGAGGGAGATGGGACACAGAAAAGCTCTTTCTTTCCTACCCTTAAAAACAAGATAAAAACCACAGAGATGAATTGGGGAAGAGGGAGGCAGGCATGCAAAGTAGCACCAACCAAGGAGCGCTAAACAAGGGGGGGCAGTTATTTCCTTATTGCACCCCACACAAAGGTGTGTGTGAGTATAGATATATATGGGAAGGGAAAGGGCTGGGGAAAAGGAATGCATGTAAAGATCATCAGATGGGGAGGCTGAAGAGGAGAAAGGCAGGGAGAAATTTACCAGTCACAGCTCCAAATTACTTCCCGCCACCCCGCTTTTTTTTTTATGGGGAAGGGAGACACATGGGAAAGGAGGAGAAATAATCCAAAATCAAGGAAGAGGAAAAGGAAGCTGGGAGGAAGGGAGAGCAAAGGTAGCAAGAGCCCAAATGCACATAAATTGAGAAGCAGGCACCAACCAATCAGCGGTGGAATCCGATGAGAGGCGACGCCAAACAACAATATACACAAATATTACATGATATGGAAAAGAAGGCAATGGGGGGGACAGAGTCTTGAGAGGTGGAGAATATCAGTGAAATTGAACAGCTGGAAGACGGAGAAAGATGGGGGGCAGATAGAGAAAATTACAGTTCTCCGTCTTTTTTTGACCCTCCTCCGAAAGCAGAGGGTGGGAGGCAGGAATGAGGAAATTACAGATAACTCACATATATTCTCTTCTGTGCCCCATTAGCACACCCACAACCCCAAAAAAATTCAAGGGGGAAAGGAAATAAAATAATAAAGCAGCCAATGGGGGGGTAGTAGATAGAAGAGATGGAAAGGAAAGATGGGCGATGGTGATTGTATCTCTATTTTCTCTTCTTCCCAAATATTTGAGGGGGGGGGGGTGTTTGAGGAGAGGCAGGCGGAAAAGGAGCGATCCTATATAATTGAGGGTAATGAACTCCTTTGATGTAGGAAGGGAGTCCCATCCACCTGGAAACAACGGGAGATGTAGATGCAAGAGGTGGAAGGAAGGAAGGAAGGAAGGAAGCCATTATTTCTCCCACACACACAAAAAGATAGACGAGGGAAGGAGGGGGATGAAGAGAGGCTTGCAGAGGAGCCGCCACAACCAGTCCTGGAACTGAGGCAAATCAGCTCCCATTCAAACTGGGGATGGGATGGAAGGAGGGAGGCGATCCTTTATTTCACACACAAGAATGGAAATCAAATCTCCCTGAGATAACAGGGAGCCTCCCACTGAGATTGGAGGGAAGGGAAAAGCGAATTATTATTATTATTATTATTATTATTATTATTATTATTATTTTGTCTCCCACCACCCCGCCAAAAAAAAGAAAGAAGAGATGCTGTAAGCGAAAAATAGTTTATCTCCCGAGTTTACGCCAAGAAAACTCAGAAACGTGAGGAGAGGCAAGCAGGGAAGGAGAGACCTGAGGAACTCCCTGCGACAGGCCTGCCCTTCCCCCCTTTCAAAGGAGGAGGAAGAGGAGGGTCTTGCTCTTCCTCCTCTTCTTCCTCGCTCTCTTCCCTCCCCCCCCTCAATTCCCTCCTCCTCCTCCTCCTCCTCCCCGGGAGACCCACCTGCCGCTCCTCCCCCGGGGAAACCATGGGTCCTCCCGCGCCGCCCGAGCTCGGCGGGCCCCTTCGGCGTCTGAGGCGGCGGGTTTGTTTGGCGTCGGCGCCAGCTGAAGGGAGCCAAGATGGCGGGCAGAAAAGGGCGCCGCGCGCAGGCGCGGGAGACACGCGCAGAAGGGAGGGGTGGGGAAAGGAGGCCGGCGCCCGAGGCATTCTGGGGGGTGTAGTTTTCTCCAGCCTTTGCTTCGAACGCCGGCGGGTTGGAATCGATGAAGCGCTTCCGGCTCCCGAGCGCAGCGCTTTGGCTGAGGGCGGCTGAAAAGGAGGGGGGGGGGTTGGGAAATCATAGAGTCGTGGAGCTGGAAGGGGACCCCCAGGGGCATCTAGTCCAGCCCTCCTCCTACCAATGCGGGGGTCTCGGCTAAGATCATCCGTGGCTGGATGGCCGTCCAACCTCTGCTTTGGAAACATCCAAGGAAGGAGGATCCAACACCATCACCACCACCTCCAGTGGCGGGCTGTTCCACAGTCGAACGCGGTGCCGGATGTACGTATAAGCTAAACAAGCTATAGTTCAGGCTCCCACTCTCTTGGCCCCCCCCCCCAAATTAAAGATTAAAAACAGTGGATGTACATTTCCAAAATATAAGATAAAAAACAAATAAAATAAAAGCTACATGCAGCAACAGTGTTTTGTGTTGTGCCATCAGCTCCTGGCAAATAGAAGGGGAAGAAATGGAGGCAGTGAGAGATTTTACTTTCTTGGGCTCCATGATCACGGCAGATGGTGAAAGCAGCCACGAAATTAAAAGACGCCTGCTTCTTGGGAGAAAAGCAATGACACACCTAGACAGCATCTTAAAAAGCAGAGACATCACCTTGCCAACAAAGGTCCGTATAGTTAAAGCTATGGTTTTCCTAGTAGTGATGTATGGAAGTGAGAGCTGGACCCTAAAGAAGGCTGATCGCCGAAGAATGGATGCTTTTGAAATATGGTGCTGGAGGAGACTCTTGAGAGTCCCTCTTGAGAGCAAGAAGATCAAACTTATCCATTCCTAAGGAAATCAGCCTTGAGTGCTCACTGGAAGGACAGATCCTGAAGCTGAGGCTCCGATACTTTGGCCACCTCATGAGAAGAGAAGACTCCCTGGAAAAGTCGTTTAGTCATGTCGGAGTGCAGTGTGCTGTTGTTGTTGTTTAGTCGTTAAGTCGTGTCTGACTCATTGTGACCCCCTGGACCAGAGCACGCCAGGCACTCCTGTCTTCCACTGCCTCCCGCAATTTAGTCAAACTCATGTTCGTAGCTTCGAGAACACTGTCCAACCATCTCGTCCTCTGTCGTCCCCTTCTCCTTGTGCCCTCCATCTTTCCCAACATCAGGGTCTTTTCCAGGGAGTCTTCTCTTCTCATGAGGTGGCCAAAGTACTGGAGCCTCAGCTTCAGGATCTGTCCTTCCAGTGAGCAATCAGGGCTGATTTCCTTCAGAATGGAGAGGTTTGATCTTCTTGCAGTCCATGGGGCTCTCGAGTCTCCTCCAGCACCATAGTTCAAAATAATTCTAAATTCCAAATTCATATATATATTAATTTTTTTATTTCATCAGATTTGCTATGTCCACCCTGTGCACACAGGCTGCAGCCGGGGGCTCCTTCCGGATAATGCTATGACCCCCCCCCCGTGATTATGTTCCAGATGTGTTCCTCTCTCCCTCTCCCAGTCCAAAGTGCTGACATCAGGCACAACGGACCAGACATTAGCCATGGAAGCCACAGATCAGAGAGCAATGCACAATGCTCATTTAAAGCAGAGGGGGAAAGCCCATCTCGCTGACAGCTTCTCAGTGTCGGGCTTGACTCAGGCCAATTTTTTTCCACGGAAATTACCAGGTTGGGGTTCCCTGCAAATGCTGCAGGGACCTCGGCACTAATGGAGCCTGGAGGAAAAAGCAATAAAATTAGGAAGCGCCTGTCAGAATCCTGGAGCTCAGCAACCTCTCATTTCTGCCACGGGGCGAGTCTTTGGTTCACGACTGTCATCAAGCCATCAGGCAAACCGGTTTTCCTTTCTTAGAAAAACAGTGGAGGATCCGTTACCCCCCCATCACCCCGGTTTTTCTCTGTGTATCGCTCCCAATAGCATGTTGAAATTATCTGCAATTTTCCACTTGGATTGCGTGTACAGGGAAGAAAACGTATAGCTTAGCTACAGCACAGGGAGAGAATGCTGTTCCTCCTCTGGTTTAAATTCAGTCCTTGTTTAAGTTTAGGTTTAGCCTCTTAATGGTAAGACCACCAGTGTTGCAATACCAGCTTTTTGTATTTGTGTCCCAGATGATTGTTGGGAAGTTGTGCTTGTGCAGATGTCCCTACTCTCCAGGGACAGCCCTGGATTTACAGAAGCTGTCCCAGTTTCTGAGTTGATCCTGAAATGTCCCACTTTTTCTTAAAAAGGTAAAGGGGCCCCTGACCATTAGGTCCAGTCGTGACCGACTCTGGGGTTGTGCGCTCATCTCACTCTATAGGCCGAGGGAGCCAGCGTTTGTCCGCAGACAGCTTCCGGGTCATGTGGCCAGCATGACTAAGCCGCTTCTGGCGAACCAGAGCAGCACACGGAAACGCCGTTTACCTTCCCGCCGGAGTGGTACCTATTTATCTACTTGCACTTTGTGCTTTCGAACTGCTAGGTTGGCAAGAGCAGGGACCGAGCAACGGGAGCTCACCCCGGCGCGGGGATTCGAACTGCCAACCTTCTGATCGGCAAGCCCTAGCCTCTGTGGTTTAACCCACAGCGCCACCTGCGTCCCGGGTGGGGTTTTCCTTAAGTTTTCCTTAGGGCATCCCTATTTTCATTGGAAAAGTGTTGGAGGGTATGGAGTTTTGTGGCCTCCCAAGCTAGGGAAATACAACCTTTAGAAGACATCTGTTTGCAAAAGACAGAGAGGAAGGACAGATTTACCAATTTATTCTTTCCTCCCGCCAAAAAATAATAGGGTGACCTTGACAAAAAAAACCACCACTCAGCCTTGAGCTGAAAACAGGATGCAGCTGTTAAACAATGAATTTGAAGCACCTTATTTTCCCCAAAGGTTCCTGAGAACTGTGGCTTCTTAAGCATGCTGAGAATTGTAGCTCAGTTAGGGGATAAACTACAGTTCCCAGGATCCTTTGTTGGAAAACAAGGTGCTTTAAATGTATGGCATATGCTCTCTGGCATAAGTTTAGCCCATGGGTCGGCAGACTAAGGCCTGCGGGCCAAATCAGGCCCAATTGCCTTCTAGATCCAATATAAGACATGAAGGAAAACCCACCCCCCCCAAAAAAAAATTCACATCTGGGCAACGTTGAGGTTCCAAGAAGGGTTTTTGCCAAAAATGTGGGTCATATAATCATGGCAACATATAGTCCGGCCCCCCACAAGGTCGGGGGGACAGTGGACCAGACCCCTGCTGAAAAAGTTTGCTGACCCCTGGTTTAGCTTTCTGTGGTTACTGGTTCCGGTGCTGAATCGTCATATACAGTGGTACCTCGGGTTAAGTACTTAATTCGTTCTGGAGGTCCGTTCTTAACCTGAAACTGTTCTTAACCAGAAGCACCACTTTAGCTAATGGGGCCTCCTGCTGCCGACACGCTGCTGGAGCACAATTTCTGTTCTCATCCTTAAGCAAAGTTCTTAACCTAAAGCACTATTTCTGGGTTGGCGGAGTCTGTAACCTGAACCGTCTGTAACCTGAAGCGTATGTAACTCGAGGTACCACTGTATTGTTGGAGAGAGACTGAGTTGAGAAATAAGACCAAGGGTACGTGTTGATATAGGAATGTATTAGATAAAATGTAAAGAAATATACAATAATAAGAGTACATTCACTTGTAAAAAAGGAATGTACAACGGGACAGACAGGAAGTCCAAAGTGTTGGTACATATATGATTTTGGAATAGTTTTTTGTCCTTGTTTTTTTTTCTTTAGGTATATAAACTTCGTATTGTGGTAAGAGAGTCAGGGACAGTATACATGCTGAAAATTGTATTATAATAAGCCTTGTAATGTAATATGATAACGTTTACCGATGTGACATAAGAACGTTAATAAATGAATAAAACTCAAAAAAAAAAGAATAGTCATATATTGCTTGTGAATGGATGCGTGTGTCAAAGAGATAAAATGAACAGAGAGAAATTAAGTTATACACACATACAAATTTATGCAGTTCTTATTTCTTTAGGTCCACAGGAGAAATTCAGGAATGGAAATGATCTACTTGTGGCCACTGATCTATCACTATATCACCTGTATGTGGCTCCGTCAGCATGCTAGGCATTGCATGGCCATTTTAAAATTAATCCGCACAACAAGGAACTCTAGCAAAATTCCTACTCGCCTGCCCCAGAGGAAAGATAGAAACCAATAATGTTCCTTGGACTGTGCTCTGAGCCTCCAACACACCAAAAACATAAAATTAAATGTAAATGTACATCTGGAAAGCTCTTTAGAAAAACATACAGCAAATGCATATTTGAATGCTGATGGTTTCAAAGACAGAGACGTACTAATATTAACAGTATGCACATAGAGGGATTTTTTGAAATGTAAAGGGGAATTCTCTCAGTTAATCTAAAGCACGCATATACTTAAAAACTCATTACCAAACAGGAAAAAGTCTTTTTAATGGATCAGCTCTGGATATTTTATTATACAAGAGCCATTTCCAGGACACTTGGGGTGAGTGTGAATGTCTGGAAGCTTTTTCACAAAGGAGTTTTGTTTGTTTTTTAAGTTGGGTTTTGCCCTGGTCTCTTTGCTAAAACAATGGGATGGAGGCTGTAATGGAACAAATCCTTTAAAAAAAAAATCAGGCTGGGTGAAATGGGAATAAATAAATATGCGGCAATAAACTCCAGAGCAGATTTCTGGAGGAGTTCAGCTCGCCACACTCTCAGTAATCAAACCTATATTTCAAACTGCATTCCTCAGAGGAATCGCATACCCTGTGGGATTTTTCAAAGGAAGGAACCTTCCTTCCTTGCAACCCAGGGCAGTGAATGAAGCCTCCATCCAAGCCTTCTTCAGCACACACAAACGGCTGCAAGTTTACTTCAGCATAAGCTTCCTTGAAGACAGTGGGGCTTGCTTTCGAGTGAACACGGTTAGGAGGATGTCAAAAAAATAATATTGCCTTCCATCAGGAAAAGCAGGACTGCTCTGACTTCCCTCAAATTAGCCGAAGAGTTATTGTTCAGTGGATTATTATTATAATACATTTATTTATATGCCTTTTCCCCTGTCCAGGGACAAGGTGGCTTACAGATAAGATCACAAGCAATCCCCTTTCTTTGTTGTTGTTGTTTAGTCGTGTCCGACACTTTTTTGTTGTTGAAAATTTTTATTAATTTACAACAAAACAAAACATACATAAAATTTTCACATCCAATTTTCACAAATTGCTTCTTTTCTGGACTTCCTTCAGCTTCTCCGTAAATCATCCATAGTCATTATTTTAGATACGCATTTCCTAATTTATATTGTCATTGTTTATACCCTTGATTTCCTTTCTCTTTAGACAATACTTCTCAGTTTTTTCACAGTGCTTTTTTAAACCCCTCTAGCGTTATCTGTCCCTCACTTATACTTTCCAGATATTCCACAAATTTCCCCCAGTCCTCGATGAACTTTTGGTCTCTTAAGTATCTAATTTTCCTGGTCAATTTGTCCAACTCAGCATAGTCTAACAGCTTCATTCTCCAGTCGCGTCCGACTCTTCGTGACCCCCTGGACCAGAGCACGCCAGGCACTCCTGTCTTCCACTGCCTCCCGCAGTTTGGTCAGACTCATGCTGGTAGCTTCGAGAACACTGCCCAACCATCTCGTCCTCTGTCAGCCCTTCTCCTTGTGCCCTCCATCTTTCCCAACATCAGGGTCTTTTCCAGGGAGTCTTCTCTTCTCATGAGGTGGCCAAAGTATTGGAGCCTCAGCTTCAGGATCTGTCCTTCCAGTGAGCCCTCAGGGCTGATTTTATGGTTTGTCCAAGGAGTTTTCTTGGCAGGGATACTGGAGTGGCTTGCCGGTTCCTGCTGCAGGTGGATCGCGTTTGGTCAAAACTCTCCGCTATGACCCCTTCGCCACGGCAAGGCAGTCCCCTTTCTTACCATCCTCTAAAAAAAATATAAAAATCAATAAAATCAATAATTATTTATTAAATTTCTATACCACCCTATTATACCCGCAGGTCTCGGGGCGGCTACAATATAAAATCAGAATATAAAAATCAAATTATCAAAATGGAAACACAAAATCAATATCCCTTCCTCTCTCACTTCTCAATGTAGATGTTGATGTGCTCCTCAGCTCCCTAAGTGTCCAGGATGAGCTTGGTGAGTCCCAAACTTCTTCTTCTTAATTAAAATTCTATACTGCCATTCATCCAAGGCAGTTTACAAAATAAAAATATTGGTGAGAACCTGTTGGGCTTTTGCACATTCCACTGCTCCTCTGAAATATGGTAGTAGGACACGGCAAAAGTCCATCACCTTTCTGCTGTCCTCGACCTCGTCTTACTATTGTGTTATTCCCCCTGCTCCGACCATCCATTTGTCTGGTTTGCCTTTAAAAATCACGTTATTTTCTAGCTCTCACAACCCTCTCCTTGCGCATGCGCACAACCTTCCCGCTTCAGGCTCCTCCAAGGCGCAGGCGCATTTGAACGTCCCGCGACAGAAGAGAGGGGCGGGACTCCTTCTTATTTGCATTGCAGAAAGCGCGCAGGCGCAGGAGATCTGCATCCGGGTATCCCGCGGGAGACCTGAGTCCGCACAGTTAAAGAGAGACAGGCGGAAAGCTCCAAAGGCAAAGGGCATCAGGGGTTATGGGAATCGTGAGATAATTCCGGTTGCCAGTAAACAACGCAAGTGGCTGTACCACTTGCTTTCCTCTTCCCTCCCCGTTCGTTTTTCCTTTTATGCGATGTCTCTTAGGTTCCTTCACATCCTTTCTCCTTTGCCTTTAAAAATAAAATAAAAGCACTGAGTTCTGCTGAGCTAAAGAAATATAATTGTCTGGTGGGAGGGACAGGGAAGGCTGCAATGCAGGAATCTCAACTAAAGCACCAGGCATCTTCATCATATCTAATAAATACGATAATAAATAATATCAGTGCCAATTCCAACCACCCCTCCTTTCTCCTTCTGCTCTGTGCCTTGACAGGGACTCATGGCGGCTTGCTGATAAAAGATAAGGCACAGAGTTGGAGGGGAGGAAGGTAACAAAATCCATTTTAAATAAAAAAAATTTTTACTTTCATTTATTTATTTCATTTACATAAAACCTTTATCGTCTGAGGGTCTCAAGGCTGGTGTACATGACTCTCCTCCTAACCATTTCATCCCCACAACCAACCCTATGAGGTAGGCTAGACTGGACCAAGCTCATTCAGCGAGCACAGAAAATCCATTTTTTTAAAAAGAAAACTGAAATATACTAGGAGCCGAGTATGGATTTCATGCTCTTTATTCAGCTCATAGTAGTGAGGAATGCCAGTTCCCCCAAAATGTCTGCTTTATATACATTATTTACAGAATGGGCCCCACGTGATTGGCTAATTCTGGGATTCTCCTGTAGGCCAATCAGGTTGCGGATTCACTTCCACCTGGAGTTGGATTGGGTGGCTCCTGCGGACCAATCAGACTGCTGCATTCTGGATCCTATTGTTCTAGGACCAATCAGACTGCTGCATTCTGGATCCTATTGTTGTGGGACCAATCGGACTGCTGCATTCCGGATCCTACTGTTCTAGGACCAATCAGATTGCTGCATTCCGAATCCTATTGTTCTAGGACCAATCAGACTGCTGCATTCCGGATCCTATTGTTGTGGGACCAATCAGACTGCTGCATTCCGGATCCTATTGTTCTGGGACCAATCAGACTGCTGCATTCTGGATCCCATTGTGCTGGGACCAATCAGACTGCTGCATTCTGGATTCTATTGTTCTGGGACCAATCAGACTGCTGCATTCTGGATCCCATTGTTCTGGGACCAATCAGACTGCTGCATTCTGGATTCTATTGTTATGGGACCAATCAGACTGCTGCATTTTGGATCCTATTCAACTCAGTACATAACAAAAACCAACCAATCAAACAGCGGCAGAATTAAAACCATACGCGCTACTGTATAAATTTATTCGTAATTATTATTCAGCGCCCCGCACATGGCGGCGCTCCGAAAGGAATCCGGAAGTCTGGTTCTCCTTAACCCCTCTAAAGGGCGACGTCGTGCGGGGCAGCGGAGGCGTGGCTTGCGTGGGGAAAAGGGTGAGTTCTTTAGGAGTATGTTCTTCGCTGTGCGCAGGCGCGCGCGCCTCTCCGCGCCTGCGCGGCCGCCTCGATGGTGTTGGTTCTTCAGAGGGGGCGGCGCGGTGCATGGTGGGAAGGAGGCGGGAGGGCGGGCGGCGGCGGCGGCGGCAGGGTTCCCTCGCTCTCCTCAGTCCGCGCCGAGGGCCGCGCTCGCGGGGCGTCCCGAGGAGCCGCCGCCGAGGATGCCGAATTTCTGCGCCGCCCCGAACTGCACCCGCAAGAGCACCCAGAGCGACCTGGCCTTCTTTCGCTTCCCGCGGGACCCCGCCCGGTCAGTTTCCTTTTTTGGGGGTGGGGGGAGGAGGATGGAGGTCATATGGGGGGGGGGTCCCACGGCAAAATAGAGGAGAGGAACCGCGGGCCCGAGCCTGGGTTGGCGTGGAAGCGCGTTCACACGTTACGCAGTGGCGAACACGTGTTCGACATGGAACACGTGCGTGCGAGAACGGTAAACCCTGGATGAGCCCCGCGCATTCTGGCCGTATGCATGTGTTTGCCGCGAACCTGAAGGTGGGGATGCGTTTAGGCATCAGAGGCAGGTTCACACGTTACGCAGCGGCGGACCCGTGTTCGTCATGGAGCACGTTCGTGCGAGAAGGGGGAATACCATTTCCTTTATTGCAAAACAATTTACATATAGAACATAAAAAACAACAGAAACGAACCAGTACAGAACCAACATACCAACTGGACACTAACTAACTACACATCATTTAACATCAGACACACTTTTGACTTCCGAGTCACATCGTTGTGCTTTTTACACGTTATTGGTCTTATATACGCATTTCCTTTTTTTATCTGTTACATATCAAGAGAGATTTATACTTTTGTAGCTTCCATAATGTACAAGATTCAGTCTAGACCTGTAAGGAGATATGCATTATCACAATACTTCTTTAGAAATTCTTTAAATATTGTCCAATCTTTGCTCACTTTCTGTTTTGAGTTTCCTTTTATTCTCCCACTCATTTCCGCAAGTTCCAAATATTCTATCTTTTCCTGCCATTCAATTTTTGTGGGGATTAAGTCACCTTTCCAGTTTTTTGCTATTAAAATTCTAGCCGCCGTGGTTGCGTGCATAAAAAAGGTTCTAAAATGTTTTTGAATTTCTAGGCGTATGCGTGTGTTTGCCGCGAACCTGAAGGTGGGGGTGCATTTGGGCGTTATTCAGTGGCGGACATGTTTTTTTGCGTTGGGCGAAGGCAAAATTTAGCTCCCCTTCTCCCATACTTCTTATTTTCCCATAATTCCTCTGGGTGCAGTTGTTTTGTTTCGGATCTTTTCAGAAGATGAAAATATATGTGCAGATTTTATTGTCATTATTACTTTATGCCCCCTCAGCTCAGCGTGTTACATCTCTCATGTTGCATCTGCTTCATGTTATGTTCTTTCAGGTTATGTCCTGCGGCGACCCGGAAGTACCGGAAAGGGTTACTTCTGGGTTTTGCCGCATGCGCAGAAGCGGCGAATCGCAACCCGCGCGTGCACAGATGCGCTGCTGCGGGTTGCATTCTTTTCATGTTTCGAATGGGCCTCTGGAACGGATCCCGTTCGCAACCAGAGGTACCACTGTATTTGCTGCTGCACACTTGTATACGGCCCTTTGGCGATATCACTGGGCAGTTCGCCACACACACACAAAACGAGAACAAAAGAATATAGTGGACGCTCGGGTTGCGAATGTGATCCGTGCAGGAGACACGTTTGCAACCTGCAGTGCCGCGTCTGTGCATGCGCAGGTCGTGATTTGGCGCTTCTGTGCATGTGCAAACCGCAATTTAGCGTTTCTGCGCAAGCGCCGAAACTCAGAAGTAACCCATTCCGGTACTTCCGGGTTCAGCACAGTGTGCAACCCGAAATCGCGCAACCCGAAGCGTCTGTAACCTGAGGTATGACTGTACATTAAAAACAAGGCAGAAGATCGAAAATAGACCAATAACCTCACCCCCCAAAAACACATTTAAAAGGTCATTTAATGCATTCACTGCTAGATTACTGTTCCCCTTAGCGAAGCATTCGAAACTCCCATTGTTCCAGGCGCATTTTGCGACGGAATTTCATTGGCGTGAGCAGTTTCTCAGCTCTGTGCACCTAAGATTTCAGATTAAAACTGCAGAGGGGAAGGAAAGGAGGACCCTTTTCTGCCTCCCGACTTCCAGCTACTCTCTGAAGAGTGGAGAAGAGATCCTCTTAGGAAGATTAGGGGGGTGGGCAGAGGAAGGACTAGACCATGGGAAAAATGAACATAGTAATTTAGCTGCAGTTCATTCATTTTCAGCTTTGTATATTACAAAAAAGCGCAGCTAGGCATTCTGTTGTTGCGCCCGTAACCTCGGTTTAAGGTAGCATTTAGCTCCTAGCTTTCATATCTCAGTTTCTAACACTGCCTTAGGGACACGTTTTGCTCATTACAATAGCGCTGTCACTTGAGTAATAATATTAAGAGTGTGTGTGTGTGTGTGTGTGTGTGTGTATTAAAATTTATATTTATTTATACCCTACCATTTTCCCTGACAGAAAGTCAGCTTGGCTTACAGTTAAAACAAAAGCATTTACTTTTTTGTACCGCTTTGCCCAGCATCCTTTGACTCAGACCCACAACCCTGGGATTAAGAGTCCCGTCCTCTAACCAACTGAGCTATCCCAAAATACACATGGATATATTGCTGTTCAGTTGAGGATAGCTTCAGGGACACATTCACACATATGGGTGTACACAGTTTGATTACTGTGCTATTGCAGCTCGGTTTTCCTGTAATGGTACCTCGGTTTACGAACTTAATCCGTTCCGGAAATGGTTCTTAAACCGAGGCGTGCTTTCCCTAATGAGGCCTCCCGCTGCCGGTGCCCTTCCACCGTTCAGATTCCGTTCTTAGAATGAGGTAAAGTTCGCAAACCGGGACAGGACACTGCTTCCGGTTTTGTGGAGTTTGTAAACCGATTTTTGGTTCTCTTTCCAGTCAAGAATAGTTTGAAACCGTTTAAACACATTTATCGAGAGACACTTCATGAATTAGAGGTTGAATAATTGTTTCACTTTGGTTTCTCAAACCGCCTTATAGTGTCAAAAAGAATTTCCACAGCTGTACAAAATAGCAGATGTGGTTTAGTATGAAAATCATATACGTAGTTTGTTTTACACAGATTTAGTTTCACAGCTGAACCTTTCCGAGATGTGGGCAATCGTCCAAAACATACGTGCTGATGTGGCTCCTTAGAATATATTTTGCATGTTTCATCACGGCTTTTGCTTGAAAATTTCAACATCTGTCAATCCAGAAATAGCATGATAAGTGTGACTTCATTAGGATTTGAAAAACTGCACGGATACACCTGGATCTTCTTCCGATTTACCCCCCACTCACCCCAAAAACATAGTGACCATTCTTGTTATTGGATCTACTGTTCAGAATTTATAAAATTGTTCCTTAGAGGGCCATCTGGCAACAAGAAAATAATTGAAAATGTCATGTCAGCATCATAGTTCTCTGGGATACCTTCCTGCCATTAAGCCGTTGCTCATTCATCAGCAGGTGCAAGATGGAAATAAATTCTCTCTTGAGATGCTTTCCTTTTTCTATACCTTTCTCACAGGAGGAAGGAACATTATTTGAGGCAATGAATAATCAGACCGAAGCCTGTTTGTTTATTCATTCATACATATATCCCACCATTCCTTCTAGTGAGAGCTTTTTGTCCCAATGGCGTGAGCCTTTAAGCAAAGGTTGGTTTGTGCTTCATTCCTGTTTCACGAAAGTCAGATGGTTAAAGCTGACTGAACAACCGAGCTAATTCCAGACCTGGACTATGAAAGTGCGTTTTTACCCTGACCGTCTTAACTGAGCTTTTTATTAAAAAGTTGGTGTTTCCTAAATTTCTGATACCAGTGGCACTACTTTCTGAATTAACGGTGAAGTGAATCTCCAATTTTAATGCTTCCCAAAAGGTTTACATTTATATCAGCCTTGTAAACAAGCTGCCAAACGTTACTGTCCCGAAAAATGGACTAGCAGGCTCGCATCAGCAGCCTGCTGCATTTCTGCCTTGGGCCTGGGGTTCCTCTGTCTTGTCGTTTAGTCGTGTCCGACCCCCTGGACCAGAGCACACCAGGCACTCCTGTCTTCCACTGCCTCCCGCAGTTTGGTCAAACTCATGCTCGTTGCTTTGAGAACACTGTCCAACCATCTCGTCCTCTGTCGTCCCCTTCTCCTTGTGCCCTCCATCTTTCCCAACATCAGGGTCTTTTCCAGGGAGTCTTCTCTTCCCATGAGGTGGCCAAAGTCTTGGAGCCTCAGCTTCAGGATCTGTCCTTCCAGTGAGCACTCTGGGCTGATTTCCTTCAGAATGGATAGGTTTGATCTTCTTGCAGTCCATGTGACTCAAGAGTCTCCTCCAGCACCACAATTCAAAAGCATAAATTCTTCGGCGATCAGCCTTCTTTATGGTCCAGCTCTCACTTCCATACATCACTACTGGGAAAACCATAGCTTTAACTATACGGACCTTTGTCGGCAAGGTGATGTCTCTGCTTTTTAAGATGCTGTCTAGGTTTGTCATTGCTTTTCTCCCAAGAAGCAGGCGCCTTTTAATTTTGTGACTGCTGTCACCATCTGCAATGATCATGGAACCCAAGAAAGTAAAATCTCTCACTGCCTCTGTCTTACCTTCATGCAATTCCTTGTTACCTCTGACTACCAGGTAAATGCATAGGTCAGGCATAGGCAAACTCTGGCCCTCTAGATGTTTGGGACTACAATTCCCATCATCCCTAGCTAACAGGACCAGTGGTCAGGAATGGTGGGAATTGTAGTCCCAAACATCTGGAGGGCCAGAGTTTGCCTATGCCTGGCATAGGTATTCTTTTGAGCGCATTAGAGGAGGAATTACCTACCTGACCTGTGAGAAGTCCACGCCTTGTGTTTCCGCGCCATTCACTGGCCTGGCCTCCTGATTTATGCAGAGAGGCAACAGGTAGCCTCACCTGAGCCCAGGTAATCCCACTGCTTGCCTGCACCGAATGGTCCAGTCATGCCCAATATAAAGGAGTAACTCTAAAAAATCACAAGCAACACGTGGCTAATAATGTTTTAACCAAATCTTTGTAACATGTATTGTTTCACATTTCTTAAACAGAAAATATATAATGGAGTCACAGAGGCAAATAAGCCATTCAACAGTCACAATCCTGTAGTCGTGCAATAATGGAAGCTCCAAGCGTAGTAATTCTTAAACAGAAAGTATGTAATAGAATCACAGATAATGAAAGTCTATCACTGTTGCATGCCCAACATAAGGCAATACAGTGGTACCTCAGGTTAAAGACGCTTTAGGTTGCAGACGCTTCAGGTTACATACTCCGCTAACCCAGAAATAGTACCTCAGGTTAAGAACTTTGCTTCAGGATGAGAACAGAAATTGTGCAGCAGCAGCGGGAGGCCCCATTAGCTAAAGTGGTACCTCAGGTGAAGAACAGTTTCAGGTTAAAAACGGACCTCCATAACGAATTAAGTACTTAACCCGAGGTACCACTGTATAGTCCATAAGCGTCAAAGAGGCAAACAAGCCTTTCAACAGTCAAAGTCCTATGACCGTGCGACAATGGATGCTCCAAAACGTGGAGAACGGAACAGTTCTTCCGGATGACGAACTGTTTCGATAGTAACTCTTCACCAGCAGTTAAATGGTCCTAACGGGTACATCAAGTAGCATAGGATCAGCACTCACTAAGATGTGTAGAAAGCAATATATTGGAGTGGCAGAGTCCTAGTTCCTGCAGAGACTTGGTTGGACTTTTTCTCTTCCCAGAGCCGTCTTGCATAAACGCAGCGTGGCTCACAGGCACCTCTAAATGACTTTATCTGTTTGGTGGAGGAGCAGCGCCTTCTCTGGCAACTATTGTTTTGGGAGCTAATGACCTGTTATCTCTCGCAGATGTCAGCGTTGGGTTGAGAACTGCCGAAGGGCCGATTTGGAAGATAAGACGCCCGACCAATTGAACAAGCACTACAGGCTGTGCGCGAAGCACTTTGAAACCTCGATGATATGTAGGAGCGTAAGTAAAAGGAATCGGCAGTAATTGTCTCCTGCTTCCTATGCGACATGCAACTGGATTCCGCCTTCCTCCTGCGTTAACTCGTGTCGGAAGCAGGAGTCCCAGGAACGTCTTATCAAACAAAATGCTTTTCGCGACTTGATTTACTGCCTGTTGCTAATTGACTGGCTCTTCCCGCCAGCTGGAATGTGCGGGTTGCCTTCTGCCCTCTCCTGTGCGTGCCTAACCTGTGTGCTTTCAGTGCTTTTAAGCCTTGCAGGATTACTTAAATATGAAAAAATGCAGGGGGGTGTATTGGTGTTCTGGGAATCGGCACTGTACGTGTCGGAGAAAAGCAGCGATTGGCCTCTCCCATTGAAAATACTGGGTTTCCTTGAAGAGGCCTTGCCTGAAACTCTGCTGGGGAGAATTCCATCTCTAAAATCAAATTGCGTTTTATGGCCTCAAAAACGTTTTTAGAATAATATTTTAAATAGCCAAGTGGATTAGCTTGCACATGGGATGCAGAAGCAGCTGGCTTCACTTTTGCTATGTTGGTGTAGAATTTTGCTTTAAAACATCAGGTGCCTCCCCCTGCACCCCCCCCCCCGATTGGCAGGTAGCCTTTTGAGGAAGGGCTTGCATGAGAATCACATATGCATTAATATAATTCCCTGAAAGCAGCTGTTTCCCCCCCATGTAAAAAAAAACCCACTAGTTGCCTTTAAAAATCCTCTCTCCAAGAGTGCTGGATGTTGGGAGGGGATTCAAAGTACAGTCATACCTCGGGTTACAGACGCTTCAGGTTGTACGTTTTCGGGTTGCGCACTGCGCTGAACCCAGAAGTACCGGAATTGGGTTACTTCCGGGTTTCAGTGCATGTGCAGAAGCACTAAATCGCGCTTTGCGCAGAAGCGCTGAATCGCAGCCCGCGTGTGCGCAGACACGGCACTGTGGGTTACAAACGCTGCGGGTTGCGAACGTGCCTCCCGCATGGATCACGTTCGCAACCCAAGCACCCACTGTATAAGTATGGCAACATTTTGCTGGCTACCTTCCTTGTTGTCTCAGAACTCCAGCATAACAATCACATGAATGAAACTGGGACCAGAAACTGTTCATCACTTGCTCGTCTGAGAACCCTAGACTATAACCCAGCAGTGTTCATCCTCTCCTCCAAACGTGGTTGCAAACTCATGTCTGCCGTTAAAAGGACGCTCTCTGTGGAGCTGTAGAGGACTGCATGGATCTGTATACCCACAGAATACAGTGGTACCTCTGGATGCGAACGGGATCCATTCCGGAGCCCCATTCGCATCCCAAGTAAAACGTAAGAAGCGATTGCGCGTGCGCGGGTTGCATTTTGCCGCTTCCGCGCATGCGTGTGATGTCATTTTGAGCGTCTGTGCAAGCAGCGAAACCCGGAAGTAACACGCTCCGTTACTTACGGGTTGCCGCGGAGTGTAACTTGAAAATGCTCGACCTGAAGCACATCTAACCCGAGGTACGACTGTGTATGCATTTTACAAATGTGTTTGTCTCATTCATTGGTTGCACTTTGTAGGAGTGCAGCTGGTGCATTAAAAGTATGCCTCTTATGCAAATTCAACTTGGTTGGTCCCAACATAAAAATACTCTTTCTCCCTGCTGGTGTCTTGGCAGGGAGGCAGCTTGCAGAACTTTCTTCTAAGAGCAGTTTGGTTTCAATAGCCTCCCATTATCCAGATCATTTGGTTCCTTGGTCTGACCTGGAGGCAGGGCAGGTGGGAAGAGTTCTTCTGGGATGGGTTTGGGGGGACAGGAACCCAGTTGCCCTGTTAAGTGCAATGCACCCAGAAATGTCAGCAACATCTGTGAGGAGTTGCTACTTTTAGCTGGATTTATAAGAACTGTTAACTTGGAAAACGTGCATCATAGTCTCTCTTCCCCCCAGCTCCTTTTTCCTTGTGTGTTGTGTCCCTTTTGCTTGCACGCCTGAGGGCAGGAGCCGATTTAATACTGATTTTGTAAGCCGCTCCTGAGAGTTTTTGGTCTACAGGGTGGGGTATAAATGCCCTAAACAAATTTATTTGTCTCTGTGGCCAGGCAGTTCTGAGAGTTCGCAATATCAAAAGCAACACGATGGCCAGAAACAATAACAATGTGAAAAACTTTATGGAATAATTCAGAACATCAAAGCTAACAAACTGAAGTCTCTGAAAGTCCTTAAATGAATCACGGTGCCAGACTTTACCCGGTGTAAGTAGAACGATATGTAATTTCTTCATTAACCAATCTTTTTTAGAATAGATATAATGAAAAATGAAAAATACTCTGGAACAGTGCTCATGCGATTATGTAGTCACTGTGCTACTTAACGAGTGTTGAATTAATTGGCTGATGAAGAATTCAACGAAACAATAGTTGTTATCCGGAAACACTGTTCAGCAGAGTTCAGAGTTGGACATCAGAATTGGACATTTTCTGATTATACAAAGCTTCACAGCTTGCTCTCTGGCGGGGAAAGTCTGGCACCGTGATTCATTTAAGGACTTTCAGAGACTTCAGTTTCTTAGTTTTGATGTTTTGAATTATTCCATAAAGTTTTTCGCATTGTTATTGTTTCTGGCCATCGTGTTGGTTCTGAGAGTTGATCAGAATCATACTTAACTGTACTTGGCAGGGATGGATAAGAGTTGACATAAATCCAAAAGCTAAGGTATATAAAAGCAGATTCGCCACATGCTCTTTTGGTGGTTTGCTGTTTTCCAGAGGGCTCCCTCCTGATTCTAAATGAAGGATAGTAACCTTCCCTCTGCGCCTTCCCTGGGAACTTGTTTTTCCCCACTTAAAGAAACATGCTGTAAAACGATGAGAGATGAAGACTTTTGCTTTTCTCTTTGCAGAGTCCCTACAGGACTGTTTTACGAGACAACGCCGTGCCAACAATTTTCGACCTCACGAGCCATTTGAACAACCCACATAGCAGACACAGGAAGAGAATTAAAGAGCTGGTAGGTTTGCCTTGGACTGAGATGCTACAACTAAGCCGACCAGTCAGTCTTTGTTCTCTGTTATGGCTTGAAGTCAAAACAATAAAGAAATAAGAAAGGAATTATAACAAGACAATATACTCCCAGTAGCAGAAAAATATAATTTATTTACTATACTACTGAGGAGGCAGAAAACTGGCTCAAACTTCAGAAACTGCCAAGTCGAGTCCCACCACTGCTAATAGCGTCACCCTATTTTGTGAAAGAGGGACACGTGTGGCGCTGTGGTCTAAGAGCCTAGGGCTTGCTGATCAGAAGGTCGGCGGTTTGAATCCCCGCAACGGGGTGAGCTCCCGTTGTTCGGTCCCAGCTCCTGCCAACCTAGCAGTTCGAAAGCATGAAGTGCAAGTAGATAAATAGGTACCGCTCTGGCGGGAAGGTAAACGGCGTTTCCGTGCGCTGCTCTGGTTCGCCAGAAGCGGCTTAGTCATGCTGGCCACATGACCCAGAAGCTGTCTATGGACAAACGCCGGCTCCCTCGGCCTATAGAGCGAGATGAGTGCTGCAACCCCAGAGTCGTCCGCAACTGGACCTAACGGTCAGGGGTACCTTTACCTTTATTTTGTGAAAACACGGCAGAAATTTGTTTTGGGTTTGTTTGTTTTGCAATTCAGATTAATTTGCTTTTACCTCCACAACTGGGTCTAAAAAATGGTGGAAATTTGCAGAAGAAAAATAAGGCAACAGATTGAAAAAATGAGGTACGTCCTCTACATAACCACAGTCACAAAGACGGAGTCTAAAGTCGTAAAGCGTTTTGGCACCTGTTAACACCCTGAGAGAAGTTAGCACTGTTAAGTAGTTTCAGAGAGGCTAGCAATACAGTTATGCCCAAATGGTCTAGTTCAGTACAAGAGGAATGGGAATAGCGCAGGTTTTCTTCTACGCTGTATGTTTTGCCGTGTCTTCAATTACAAATCTCTTGTTTGTTTTAGCATCCTCGGCCTTCTGAGAAATTGACTGTTTGATGGGTCTCTTCCAAATGCGGGGTTGAATATTTATTTATTTATTGGAATATATATATATAAAGGCAACAGAGGAAAGCACTCATTTCCTCCACCGCCACCTGGGCTGATGATGCTGTAATAATAATAATAATAATAATTTATTATTTATACCCCGCCCATCTGGCTGGGCTTCCCCAGCCACTCTGGGCGGCTTCCAACAAAATATTAAAATACAGTAATGCATCAAACATTAAAAGCTTCCCTAAAGAGGGCTGCCTTCAGATGTCTTCTAAAAGTCTGGTAGTTGTTGTTCTCTTTGACATCTGCTGGGAGGGCGTTCCACAGGGCGGGCGCCACCACCGAGAAGGCCCTCTGCCTGGTTCCCTGTAACTTGGCTTCTCACAGGGAGGGAACTGCCAGAAGGCCCTCAGCATTGGACCTCAGTGTCCGGGCAGAATGATGGGGGTGGAGACACTCCTTCAGATATACTGGGGCACACAAGACTTTGCTGACTTGCCTTAAACTATTGTGGTTGGCACTGTCAACATCCCGTCCCCCAAACTCTCAGGTATGCTTGCAGAGTGCAGACTGGCTTCTTAGTTTGTGGAAGGAAGCCAGAAGTGGAGCAAGTCCCTCTTGCCATTGCTCCAAAACCCAGCATAATATGAGGCACGACCCCCTCTCAGCATTCCCCAGCTCTCTGTGGACTTGGAAAGTGAGGAGGGTTTGGTTTTTGCGCCTTGCAGTGTGAAATACAGTGGTACCTTGAGTTACATACGCTTCAGGTTACAGACTCGGCTAACCCAGAAATAGTACCTCGGGTTAAGAACTTTGCTTCAGGATGAGAACAGAAATCGTGCTCCGGCGGCAGCGGGAGGCCCCATTAGCTAAAGTGGTGCTTCAGGTGAAGAACAGTTTCAGGTTAAACACAGACCTCCGGAACGAATTAAGTACTTAACCCGAGGTACCACTGTATTCTTCCTCCTCTGTGCAGTTCTCTCAACACTTCCAGGAGGTACTACTATGAAATAAAACCCCATTTCTTTCTGTAAGCTTCCAAAGCCACGCAGGCAAAGACAGTTTTATCCCTAATGGACCGGAATATACGTTTGGATTCAAAAGACTCCTGCTTACAAAATTAGTAGATTTCTAGTGACTTGTCGGTGGCTCATAGAATTTCTTGTTTTTCTCTCTCTTCAGAGTGAAGAAGAAATAAGAACATTAAAGCAGCAAAAGAGTAAGTTGATCGGACGATTGAAGGAGGGATAACCTCTGGAGGCAATTAGCTTATGATTAGAAAATATCATATTTTGGTCCTGTTTCTCCAGGAAGCCTCTTTCTCCTTGCGTAAAAGGCTGAATGCAAATGTCCTACGTCAATACAATGACTCAATGGTATTAAACGCTCTCTTAACTCCTGGGATTGCGACTTGTGCACAATCCAGCCAAGCCCTATTGGTATCAGTGGAATAATTTAGCATATGATTTTTAAGTCTCTTCTCTCCCTTTAAATCAATGGGACTTTGGCTGAATCGTGTCTGCTGTGTGGTGAACAGTGAAGAGGTCCAAAGCTTTCATACGCTGTATTCTTAGCCATACACCAAAAGTAGTCCTTGGACAACCATGTGGTTGCAAACACACGCAGCCTTCGCAAACCATATATTTGGGACTACAGCCCCAAAGCATATGGAGGGTGTCAGGTTGACATATGCTGGCCTGCAGAGACACTTACCAGCAATGTTAGAAACTCAGATATATAAGCTAGGCACCAAATGGCTCCTTAAACCAGGGTTACAGTAGCCAAAACGGAATGTCTAGTTGCTATTTTGGGGCTTGAAAGTCGTATTTTTCAGCTATGACTTTTGGGTTCCTGAAATTCAGTCTGATGGTTCAGATAAAAATATAAAAAAAGATAAAAAAAAAAAAATTCTACAGGCTGTGTTAGTATGTGAAAACGTTCCAGATCCAATGATCCTCAGGTATACACCTCCAGATGGTGGAGATGTCAGGTTAGCCCTGTCCTAAAGTGCAATGGGCCTGAGTCCTTCACTGGGATAAGAGAAATTTATTACATGTGTATTGTGTTCTTCCTAGAAAGTTAATATGCCCTCCACCATTGAGTGGTTTACAGTTGGCAATCTAAAATAGTCATTAAACATGCAAATAAAAAGAAACAAGTTACATGTATGTGTATACCAAAATCACATTGCAATATTACCGTATTTTTCGCTCTATAGGATGCACTTTTCCCCCTCCAAAAATTAAGGGGAAATGTGTGTGCGTCCTATGGAGCGAATGCAGGCTCCCTGGCTTCAGCGATAGCAACACGAAGCCTGCGCTCTGGAGGCTTCGCGTTGCTTTCGCTGAAGCCAGGAGAGTCTGGTCTTTGAGGCTGGCGGTGGGGGAAAGCAGCGCTTCCCCCCACCACCAGCCCCACAGGCTCAGGGGGCAGCGGGAAGGCGCGTGTCCCCGACCTGGTTTTGAGGCTGGCGGTGGGGGAAAGCAGCGCTTCCCCCCACCACCAGCCCCACAGGCTCGGTCGAAAAGCCCACAGGAGCCCCTTCTCCCTCCTGTGGGCTTTTGCAGGAGATGGGGGAATTTCCCCACCTCCCGCAATAGCAGGGAGAAGGTCTGGGATAAGTGCACAGGCTTGATTTCCCCCTCTGAAAACTAGGTGCGCCCTATAGTCAGGTGCGCCCTATAGAGCGAAAAATACGGTAATTGAAAAGTATGTGCAGCTGTTAATATTGTTATACATGCAGTGCTGTCTATTGGCTAAGGCAGTACATCTTTCTCAACCATTGTTGGGCTACAGCTCCCATCATCCCTGACCACTGGTCCTGCTAGCTAGGGATGATGGGAGTTGTAGTCCAACAATATCTGGGGGGCCCATGTTTGAGGAAACACCGATCCAAGGGGGTCACCAGCATAGTGCGCTTTTGGTGTTCTGATCTCCAACTCCCAGCAGCCCCTGTCAACCTGGCCAGTTGCCAGGAATGATGGGAGTTGTAGTCTATGTCATCTGGAGGGGGCACCATTGTTGACTACCCATGGTCAAAGAGTTCTGGAGTGCCGCAGATGATGAGTTGGTGTTGCTGGCGTTTCCATATTAAATATATCATTATCTCCTCTCCTAGTTGATGAAGCTTATGAGCAGGAAAAGATGAACCAGGAATCTGTCGACAACGACATGCGGAACCCAGCCTCTGAGGAAGGAGGCGACGAGCCGGTCGAAGACGATGTCCCTTTAACGCAAGAGGAGAGGGAAAACAAAGATTACCTTAAATCTCTGTTTGAGATTTTAATCCTGATGGGGAAGCAGAACATCCCTTTGGACGGCCACAGCGCTGATGAACTCCCTGAGGGGATCTTTACTCCAGACAACTTCCAGTCTCTCTTGGAATTCAGGATAAATTCCGGAGATGAGGTTCTGCGGAAGCGGTTTGAGACCACGGCTGTGAACCTCGCCTACTGCTCCAAAGCCCAGCAGAAGCAAATGCTGGAGATATGCGAAAGCTGCGTGCGGGAAGAGACCCTCCGCGAGGTCAGGGACTCTCACTTCTTCTCCATCATCACAGAAGAGGTGGTGGATCTCGCCGGCGAGGAACACTTGCCGGTGCTGGTGAGGTTTGTGGACGATTCTCACAACCTGAAGGAGGAATTCATAGGGTTCTTGCCGTACGAGGCGGACCCTGAAATCCTGTCCGTTAAGTTCCACACGACCATTACCGAAAAGTGGGGCTTGAACATGGAGTACTGTCGAGGCCAAGCCTACATCGTCTCCAGCGGCTTTGCCTCGAAAATGAAGACTGTGGCTACAAGGATCTTAGAGAAATACCCTCAGGCTGTTTATACGCTGTCGTCTTCCTGTGCCTTGAACATTTGGCTAGCCAAATCTATTCCAGTCTTGGGCATTTCCATCGCCCTAGGAAAGATAGAGGAGGTTTGCACGTTTTTCCATCAGTCGCCCCAGTTGCTAGCTGATCTGGACAACGTCATCTCCATTCTCTTTCCGAACAGCGAAGAACGGGGGAACGAGCTGAAGGAAGTGGTGCGTTCCCACTGGACGGGCCGCCACGACACCTTTGAGATTGTCGTGGACCTCATGCAAGCCCTGGTGCTGTGCCTGGACTCCATAAACGACACCTCCGTCCGGTGGAACAGCTCCATTGCCAGCCGGGCTTGCACGCTTTCCACCGCCCTGTCGGATTTCGACTTTGTGGTCACCGTCGTGATCATCAAAAACATTCTCTCTTTCACCAGGGCCTTTGGCAAGAACCTCCAAGGCCAGACCTCGGACGTCTTCTTTGCGGCCAGCAGTTTGACGGCGGTCTTGCATTCCCTGAACGAGGTGATGGAGAACATCGAGGTGTACCACGAGTTCTGGTTTGAGGAAGCCACCACCTTGGCCACCAAGCTGGACCTGCCCGTCAAACTGCCCGGCAAATTCAGCCGTGCCCAGCAAGGGAGCTTGGACTCCGAAATCACCCCGGAAAACTACTACAAGGAAGCCCTTAGCATCCCGACCATGGAGCACATAATTCAGGAGCTGAAAGACATATTCTCCGAGCAGCACCTGAGGGCTCTGAAGTGCTTGTCTCTGGTGCCCTCGGTCATGGGGCAGCTCAAATTCAACACGTCCGAGGAGCACCATGCCGACATGCACAAAAACGACCTCCCCAATCCTGACACGCTCTCCGCGGAGCTTCATTGCTGGAGAATCAAGTGGAAGCACAGAGGGAAGGACATTGAGCTCCCCACCACCATTTACGAAGCCCTCCATTTGCCCGACATCAAGTTTTTCCCCAACGTGTACGCCTTGCTCAAGGTCCTCTCCATCCTGCCCATAATGAAGGTGGAGAACGAGAAATTTGAGGTGGGCCGGAGGCGCTTGAAGGCCTACCTAAGGAACACCTTGACCCAGCAGAGGTCAAGCCACCTGGCCCTGCTCAACATCAACTTTGACATTAAGCACGACTTGGATATGATGGTCGACACCTACATCAAGCAGTACCCCGAGAAAGTAGAGGAGGATTTCCTTCCCCCTAACAGTTCAGAAGCGACGGAAGAGACTTAACACAGGAACGGGGCAGTTCTCTCTTGTCTGTTTTGGAGACTTGGGTTTTGCCTTAAAAAAAGGCAGGTTGGGGGTTCCTAACTGAAAGAGGAGGAGCTGGGTCACAGCAAGCATCTTTCTGTTTCTACGGCGTGTTTCCTCAACAAGCCCTGAGCAATTGCTCAGCTTTTGTTGCTTCTTGACCTCCCCACCCTCTCCTGCCCCGATTTACCGTTCTGTAAAGCTTTTATTATTTAAAACTGCACAGAGTCTGCAGTTGCCGCAACTGTGCGCCTGCTCTCTCTTCCCCACCTGCCATCCCTTACAATACGACACAGTTTAATCTCTTCGCTTTAGGGAAACCCAGTTCATGGGTTGCCATACTTCTGCCCAGATAACTAAAAAATGCCCTTTAAAAATGAACAAAATGTGCCGGGTTGTTGCTGTTTCGGCTTATGGGTCTCCCTGAACCCCGGACAGGAAAATCTTCTAAAATGGTATACATTTAAATGAACTATTTAGAGCAGTTTGAATTGGGTCTAATCCATGCCTTCCTAATGTTACTGGACTCCAGCTTCCATCATCCTTGCTGGCTGGGGCTGATAGGCATTGGAGTCTGCGGTACCAAGAGAACCCTGTGATGGTTACCCCTGCCCTAAACTAATCTGTTGTCGAAATTCTTTTATGTGTCTGGAGTTCAGTTCCCCTGAGACTTGCAGGACTTCCCACAACACTCTGCACAGAGGATTTTAGATAAGGGCTTTTGGCCCCTTCTCATTTCGGTGATCCTAGTCCGGCCGTTCCGGAGGAATGTGTCTTTTTTTCAAAGGGGTGCGCTAACTTCATCTTGTTTCATCTTGCTGCCCTTGTTTCCCTTCTGTTCCATTGACTGTTTGATGGCCCTCTTTGACCTCTCCTCTACTTTTAGGACTGGAAGAGAGCTCTCCATCCCCCAGAAATGAAGCTATCTTGTAAAAGGAACAACAACAGAAAACTATATTCCAAGAGCATCTAAAACTGTGCGTCGGCCGGACTTGCATCTATAGGTTTTTACTAGCCTCCAGAATATGAATTGCAAGCCTAGTTAGGCAGAAGAGCAAAGTGGAGGATATGTTCTGTTTTGGTTTGGTTTTTTTTAAAGAAAAATGTAGAAGTCCTATGAAGATTTTTTTCCTGCTGGTATTTTTTTGGCAAACAAAGGAAACGTTTTTGTATAGTTTTATTTCCATCCAGAATAAAATGTGAATTTGCTATTTTGGTATTATATGTGTGCTGTGGCCATAGAGCAGTCTGTCTGTCTCTCTTTCTTTCTCTCTCTCTCTCTCTCTCTCTCTCTCTGTGTGTGTGTGTACACAAATGATTGGTCTTTTTACAGGGCCCAGGAAAGAGTCTGCTGTTGAAGCAATGGTTTTTCAAACTCTCCCATCCAGGAACACTTTGTGTGTTGGGTCACCTGCCAAGCAAACCCTGAGTGTCTGCCACAGAACTTGTGTGCAGAGAGGATTCTGGTACTTGAGGTTGTGCGTTTGATTCATGGGGAGGTACTAGCAAGGCCTGTTATAAACCTGAGAAGAGCCTTTCTGGATCAGGCCAATGGCCCGTCTAGTCCAGCATCTATGACCAGATCGTAGAATTGTACAGTCATACCTTGGAAGTTGATCGTAATCAACAACAACAATCTTTATTACAGTCCAGAGACCCAACAAATCGTTACAAAGCAATACACAATTCATACAGCCTACCTCCAGGTTAAACAAGCATTTTGTTCAGAATATAGGGATCATTGGTTCTTGCCGATAAAAACTTTGCCACTTCTAATGGTCTAGCATTTTCCGGTCTTCCAATAGGTCGTAATCTGTACCAGAAGTCTATTCAACTTCTGAAACATTTGGAAACCAAAGCGCAGCTTCTGATTGGCCGCAGAAAGCTCCTGCAGCCAATCGGAAGTTGCGGAAGCCGTCGGACGTTTGGCTTCCGAAAGAACGTTCAAAAACTGGAACACTCACTTCCAGTTTTCGATTGTTCGGAAGCCGGTACGTTCAACTCCCAAGGCATTTAGAAGCCGAGGTACGACTGTACAGTTTAAAAATAAAAAGTGTGATTCTGAAGTAGCTTCTGGACTTCAGAGGGTAGGGTTGGGAGATATGATTTTGACAGACGCATTCCCAGAAAATGGGGATTCCCATAAACAGCTTGTCAGAAGCTGCCAGAGGGTGTCAGAGGCATCTAAAAACTTTCTCCAGAGTCTGGAATCTGGCACTTGGATCTTTGAAAGCACTTTAAAAGAGTTTCTTTGGCATGGGAAACACTGCATAAAATCCAAAAGCAACCTGAACGCTTGTGTCACTTAAAAATAAATAAATACAGTATTTATAGATTGCTTTTCAGGTGGACCTCCCAAAGCGGTTTGCATAAGATTATTACAACCAGAAACATTTAATTTTTAAATCAGTTGCAGAAGAATAGTAACATGAAGTTTTGCACCCCCAAAGTGGCAGCGACGTCCTGTTTTGTTTTGTTTTTAAATTCCCGGAGGGATTGGAAAGAGTTGCTCTCAGCGGTGCAGGTGCTGTTGTGTTTTGAAAGTGCTTAGCATAAATCCGAGGATTAGTTTCTTAATGTGCTCTGTGTGCTAATTTCCTGCTGCTCCTGAGCCGAATTGAGTGCCATAACCGATTCTCCAGATGCTGTAGTGAGAGTGATCATCTTGTAAGGTTCTGCTGAATGGCATGGCTCTTTTCTCGAGCAGAAATATGTACAGTGGACGAGAAGTGACGTTTTATTAATTGAGCTATTTCTGGAGCTTACATGGAGGTCTTGTGGGATAAAGTTCTGCTAAGTGGCTCCGTGGATGGAACAGCCTCCAGTAGAGAGAGACTCCAAAAATGGAGTTTCGGACAGACAGCTGGAATATCAGAAGAGTGCAGTATATTTAGTAGCGTGGACCATCTTTTGTGTTCCAAATGCTTATTGTTATTTAGTCGTGTCCGACTCTTCGTGACCCCCTGGACCAGAGCACGCCAGGCACTCCTGTCTTCCACTGCCTCCCGCAGTTTGGTCAAAGTCATGCTGGTAGCTTGAAAAACACTGTCAGGGGGCCAGTTCACTGTTCCTCAGAACTTGTGGGAAGCCGGACTATATTTTTTTGAGGGGGGGGGGGAATGAACAAATTCCTATGCCCCACAAATAATCCTCAGATGCATTTTAAATAAAAGGACACATTCTACTCCTGTAAAAATACACTGATTCCCGGACCGTCCACAGGCCAGATTGAGGTGATTGGGCCGGATCCAGCCCCCAGGCCTTAGTTTGCCTGTTGTTGTTTAGTCGTTTAGTCGTGTCCGACTCCTTGTGACCCCCTGGACCAGAGCACGCCCGGCACTCCTGTCTTCCACTGCCTCCCGCAGTTTGGTCAAACTCATGCTGGTAGCTTCGAGAACACTGTCCAACCATCTCGTCCTCTGTCATCCCCTTCTCCTTGCGCCCTCCATCTTTCCCAACATCAGGATCTTTTCCAGGGAGTCTTCTCTTCTCATGAGGTGACCAAAGTCTTGGAGCCTCAGCTTCAGGATCTGTCCTTCCAGTGAGCACTCAGGGCTGATTTCCTTCAGAATGGAGAGGTGTGATCTTCTTGCAGTCCATGGGACTCTCAAGAGTCTCCTCCAGCACCATAATTCAAAAGCATCAATTATGCGGTTATCAGCCTTCTTTATGGTTCAGCTCTCACTTCCATACATCACTACTGGGAAAACCATAGCTTTAACTATACGGACCTTTGTTGGCAAGGTGATGTCTCTGCTTTTTAAGATGCTGTCTAGGTTTGTCATTGCTTTTCTTCCAAGAAGCAGGTGTCTTTTAATTTTGTTACTGCTGTCACCATCTGCAGTGATCATGGAGCCCAAGACAGTAAAATCTCTCACTGCCTCCATTTCTTCCCCTTCTATTTGCCAGGAGGTGATGGGCCCAGTGGCCATGATCTTTGTTTTTTTGATGTTGAGCTTCAGACCATATTTTGTGCTCTCCTCTTTCACCCTCATTAAAAGGTTCTTTAATTCCTCCTCACTTTCTGCCATCAAGGTTGTGTCATCTGTATATCTGAGGTTGTTGATATGTCTTCCGGCAATCTTAGTTGGGTCAGCTGGTGCCTGAAGCCAGCTCCTCGTAGAGTACATCCTTGGGTATCCTGTCATCTTCCATTCTGTGGACGTGACCAAGCCAAAATAGACGTCACTGAGACGGGAGCACAAACATGCCGGGATAAAGCACGGGTTGGTGCTGATGGGAATTGTAGTCCAAAACATCTGGAGGAAATGAAGGCTAGGATAAATCTTGGAGACGAATCGCAGTAGCTTGCAGCACCAAGGTACTGGGGTTCTATTCCAGGCAGTTGAAGTGTGTTGCAGCAGGCGAGGTTAATTGCTCTTGCCATTTTGTTAAGTTCGTAAGCTCTCGTTTCCCCTCAAACAAAACAAAACCCCACCGTGAACTGGTTTGCAACCAGCAACACGTGGGGGGTTAGAAATTAAAGTGGAACAGCTGCCTTTGGCGCAACGGGTAACGCAAAAGGAGCAAAGAGTGCCAAGCACCGTCAAAGCGCGATCTGAAAAGTTTCTAACGAAAACCATATTGGCACAGGGCAGCTGAGGAGGGAGGAAAACCTGTTTTGGAGTGGAAGAAGAATAGCCCATCAATCAACAAGGAATAGATGCATGTGGCCAAAACCTAAGTGGAAGCAGGCCTGAAACAGGCAGCTCTAAAGACCTCGATAATGAGATCCCATAAAGATCGGGATGGGAAGCCTGTGACCCACTAGATCAGCGGTTCTCAACCTGTTGGTCCCCAGATATTGTTGGACTACAACTCCCATCATCCCTGAGCTCTGGCCTTGCTAGCTAGGGGTGATGGGAGTTGTAGTTCAACAACATCTGGGGACTCACAGGTTGAGAAAGGCTGCACTAGATGATACCGGACTACAAATCCCATCAGCCTTGGCCATAGCCCACGCTGATGGGAAGCTAGCCCTGCTGACTATCTAATGCTTATTAGATGGATTTCCCCTAAATTGATTTCTGAACTTTGAATTTTATTGTTATTCATGTTTTTATACTGTATTTTATGCTGCTTTTACAATTAAGTGATTTAAATTTGTTGTTAGCCGCTCCGAGCCCGGTTTTTGAACCGGGAAGGGTGGGGTATAACTAAAATATTATTATTATTATTATTATTATTATTATTATTATTATCCCTAGCTAACGGGACCAGTCGTCAGGGATGATGGGAGTTGTAGTCCCAAAACATCTGGAGGGCTGAGTTTGCCTATGCCTGGTACAGGGTTCACTCCTTAACCTTTCCTTCTTTTGAAGATGTCCTGCAAGTACCAGGCAAGTTTGGCAGTTTCCCCAACGCAAAGAGAAACATACCTGCACATTCAGGTTGCACAATTATAATTGATGCTGCGCTCTTGCGAAAGATACCCACTACCCCTTGCCAATCATTTTTTGTTTTTTGTTTGCAATGTGGAAGGTATGGAGAAATGCTTGCTTGATGCAATATCATCTAACCTCCCCCCACAACTTCCCCAAGTCCACCATAAACCTGTTGGGTGCTATTTCAGTCCTAACAATAGCCTCCCGTCCACCCCAACTGGGGGGATCTTGGAAACATTCTTTTGGCATCGGAAGAAGCCCACCCCTCTGCCTCTCCCCGATCATCCCTGCTTTTCACCTCTCCGTTGAGCTGCTCCTTTGTCGGGACACTTCTTGGCCTGCCGGAAAGTGCTGGATGGATTTGCCAGCTCTCCTGCTGGGCTCTGCTGAACCCAGAGCCTCCAGAGACACTTCTCAGCATTATAACTTGGTCTCCAAGACGGAGGATCTCGGCCAACAGAAATGGAAACCATTTGATCCAGATGCACCAGCTCCAGCAAGGGTTCCCTATAAGATAATTAACTGATAATCCAACAGCCCTTGCATTTTATAGGTTTAGTTGCTGGGCAGAAAGTGTGCAGGAGAAACCTATGTTAAAAGCTCCCCTCGGGCGCGTATATATTTTCTGGCCCTCTGCTGGTTCTTGGCCCAGCTAGTGCATGGTTTGTTTAAGCAATCTATCCCCACCCATAATTTATCTCCTGCTCCACTTGTCACCAACATCTCACCTTCGGTTCTGCTGTACTTTTGGCCAGCTTGCTTTGGCTAAAACCATGAGGACAAGTGGGCTATCTGGCCAGTCTGCAATTTATCCACAGCTTGGCTCA